GAGAGATAAAAAGATGAAATTTGGCAGATGGGTAGAGTTGTGTTTCTTTTAACCATATTTGAAGGTTTCGCGTTTCTACATTTAAAGGAGGGGGAATAGGGAGGTGCGCATTTCCGATACGTCGATAATATATTTGCCAATCAATTTGCGACCACCGTGTTTTTGTCTGTTTGATTGCTGTGATGTGGTGCTTTGTTTATAATTTAACGAGTTTTGTTCGAAATAACCGTGTTCTTGAAATATATGACGGTCAGAAATGCAATTAGAAGCCCAATGTTTTCACGCTGTCACAAGACAGGAACTTCTAAAGACAGAGAAGTTTTGGTACCGTAACAAGGGTTGCCAACTATGAAAAGTCTCAATGAAGGACATAGATTACCGTCATCATTTATTTTGTAACTTGCAGGAAAGAACAATATAAAACAATCAAGTACAAATTACTGAATTATATACAAGCTAAAAGATATTTTAAAAAATCTTCATGTGTTTTTCATTTAATGTTTATTTAACATTGACCCAATCAAGCTGCATTCTGTGAACAGTTTAGTGCTTTTTAAATCGTGCCTAATTTTTTTTCGAATGAATGCAACTTCATCAAATAGGTCAAAAATATTCAAATTAAGTTTGTCTTTTAGCTTCAAATGCTCTACAATTTTTACAAGTGTCTGATATTTTGGAGAAAGATTATCCAAAAGAGATAATTTTCCAAATGTTGAATTTTCATCAAAGTCAAATCTTTTTTCCAAATACGTTATCGCAGAGTTGAGAAACAATCTAAAATCTTAGAGACCAAATATACGTAGAATTTTCAGTTATTGAACTAGAATTCACTCAAATCTTGGAGTGTTGCTTGCTATCTATGAAAAATTAATGTAAAATATTTGAAATTGTTAATAAAATTGGTATTTCTTTGGCTATTTGAGCCGTACCAAAGCGAAATTAAAAAGAATAATTAAAAGCTTGCAAATACATAAACGGAGGCGATTTAAGAACGAAACAATATCAAACACAGTACTATAACTATCGGGCAAAACGACGTTGGAAAAAATAAAGGACAATTATCAACTTAAGAAGGACAAGGACAAAAATTTCAAATAAAGGATTGTACTTCTTTGAAATAAAGGACGGTTGGCAACCCTAACCGTAACACAGCGCGGTGACACTGAACTAACTCGTAGCTGTCAAAAGCTTAAAAATCCATACAAATATAAGAGATAAAACGATGAAACTTGGCAGGTGGGTAGAGTTGTGTTTCTTTTACCCATCTTTGAAAGTTTCTTCTCTCCCCCGGGATAAATATGTAAATCCTATTCTAATACGTCGATAATATCTTTGTCAACCAAGTTGTTTTTGTCTGTTTGATTGCTGTATGGCTGCGTATGCAATGGTCTCGACGCAGCAGAAACCATGTTCAAGGCTTGATGTTCGGTCGCAAATATGTCTTCCGAGTGTCGTACTTTGGTGGTTTGTATAGCTTTAACTCTTGGTCGTATAGTGTTAATTCGAGGTTTAGCGTGTAGAATAAATGCCATTGTATCCACGGTGAAAAAATTAACGGGTTAGAAATATTGTTTTTTGTTTTATAGGGGTTTGAATGAAATCGTCCGCAGACTGGCTACAACACGCTGGGCCTGGTGAGTTGTCCGTGTAGTCGAATTGTCCATCAGCCCTAAACGGCTATGACAGTCACTGTACCGAAATTTGTACCCCGATTCGGGTGGTGTTGAGTCGACGCATGTCATTTAGTAACGTTTTTATGTTTGACTGTGGCTCGGTACCTGATCCGATAATACGGTACATAATTGACTCATATCACGAGATATTTCAACTGATGTTTCAATATAATCAGGAAGAGTGGATCATTGTCACAGGACCTGAAATATCTATGACAGTCCCTGTACCGTCACGATACCCCGATACAGGTACTGGTAAGTCACCGCATATGATTTTTGGGGGATTGTTCTGCGTGTCCATATATTTGAGCATTGCTCTGTTGTATTAAAATCATTTTTAAAATTCAGACTAGGTCTTATTTTCGGGGAAACACGGTACAATTGCACTTATAAAAACGATTTGAGATGATTTTTAACTTTTTTATATGAACCGGCAGTTTACCATTTTTCACACCTAATTCCACTTTTGATCATGTTTAAAGATTGAGGCCGTTCATTACGAAGTTTGCATTTATGAATAAAATATTCTGCACATAATAATACCGTAAATATATACTATATGTATACTAAAACACAGTTAATACCTCGATTTTCCCCACCCTCATTACAATTTTTTTAATGTCAAATTAAGTCTTAACCAACGACTAACATACCGTCTTAACCTTTGGTTTAGGATAGGATATGATTTACATATTTATCCCGGGGGAGAGGAAAATCGATAAGACGGCTTAATCATTTGGCGAACCACAGCCTCTTGTCCGGTTACCAGACCAGGTCGGGTATGGGATTAATTAGCCAGTTATTTGTTTTCGGAAGCATGGACTTGATGGTGGAGGAAGCCGTAACCGACCAGCGGTTATGTGAACCACCCTACGGCGGCAAAGAGTCCAGCACTCTTCTCGCACATAATCATACTCCCATGGGATTCGAACCTGCGAACCCACGCAAGGTAATCAGAGATGCGGTGGCAAGCGTTTTCCCGTCTTCGACTTAAATATTTTATTTATTATGCACGACTTTTGCTAGTATCCTGTTTGACTTTTTTTCTCACTATGATTTAATTTTTAGACTCACTCCCCCAGGGTGACGCTGCTCGATAACCTCTTCTGGTTTATCGCGCCTCCCTTCACACTGAAAGTATTGTCTTATGTGATTCGTATTTATTTTTGTCTACTGTGTACTCTTGGTATGTGATAAAATAAACTACTGACTGACTGACTGACTAACGCTTAGTACGATGCGCCACACCGCCGAGCCTGTATTAGTATTCATTTACGGTTTTCCCCATATTTTACAGTTAATCATTGATTAACAATTTTTCAAAAATAAAGCACAAATTCACAGGAATAAAATAAATGTAGCAATGTAAGTAATCAATTTTATCATTGCTTTTTAAAATATTATTATTTTAGGAATTTATTTTTGCAAATTTGCAAACACATTCTCGCCTCTAGCGGTTGAGCAACTTCGGGATACCAGTGGGCCGCTCGGGTTCGCCCAAATTGAGGCTGGTCTGGGAATGGCTGAATGGTGGCGAGAACAGGTACCGGTACGGTAATTATCGTACTTCTGTGCTTAATCCCAAGTTACGGTAACTAACTTATACCGGTACCGGTATACAAATGTAAGACAAAAAAAAATTTTCCAATAATAAAAAATAATTTACCATTACATACCGGTATTTATTCCCATAGTCTACTGTTAGACCGTACGGTACCGATATCCACTGTACCGTACCAGATACGGTACCGGTAAATGATATGAATGCATGAGAAAATATCTGAATATAGAAATAGTACGGTACCCTACCGGTAACTTACCGTACTGCCGTAGATATCAGCATATCGGTACTGTCATACGGCAGTACTGTACCAGTGTACCGGTACCGGTACGGTATCACACACATTCCTGCAGTCTTACAGTTGATCAGCATTCAAATATTTGATTTGTAAAAATACTGATAAAGGCACCAGTCACCGTCAGCTGCAGAACTGTGGTAGGATAGGATTTACATGCCGGTATTTATCCCAGGGGAGGGGAAAGACGATAAAACGGCTTAGCCATATTATGGCGAACCACGGCTTCTCGTCCGGTTTTCATTCCATGTCCAGATGTTAGCATGTCCAGAGTAGGTGCAGCGGCGAGCGTATTCCTAACGCAGTAACGCTTAGCACGATGAGCCACACCGCCGTGCCAATGATATGATGGTAAATGGTATGATACTAAATAGTCTAGCCGAAATTTGATTTTCCAGTTTATTTTGTTCTTGTCTATCTGCTCAATCTAATACTGTAATAGTAATAAAGCTTATTTGGTGCCTCTTTAAGACCTTACCGTACTGCCTTAGCGTGAGGTCTATCTACAGATTTATAGTCTATATATCACCTGGTCTTCGAAGGTCTGAAGGTGCAGCCTAAAGTCAACTGCATTAGGGTTAGTGTCATATTCCAGTATTCATGCTCTCATCCTGTAGTTCAATGCTTGATAAATTTTATGTTTAGAAATAAGTGATATCCATTCAGTCGCTAGGATTGGGAAAATGCCTCAGTACAGCAGTATGCGTTATTCTATATTAACACAAAGTTTTTATCGTTTTTTTTTCTGTGAGGTAGGCTATTAATACATCCATAATAATATATATTAATAACTTTATTTTAATTTCCCCAAAAAACATACACGGAGCAAATAATGACCAGGATACAGAATATCGGGGAAAATCAGGAAAACAGGCAAAATCTCTAGGAAGATTTAAAACACGTGGAAATACATGTGCCTGTTTATCCATATCACACGCATAAACATATTATAAAAAAGATAAAAACACGAACGTGTTATCGTTTGGGCATCTAACTTGTGTAACAAACAAACTGTAGATGCGGTGGGTTTCAATTTATAACTGTTTACGCCGAAACGAAAATGATTGCTGGATTGGGCTGTGTTTATCGTTTCGGATTTATTCACACAAGAAGTTTTAAAGCAAACCAATAATTTAAATAACGTAAACAACTGTGAAGTAGTGTGCTAAAGTAGATAAAAACAGTGTCAAAATAAGTAATAAATAAATCTGAATGTCTTTTTATGGAATTTTTCATTATAAATAGAATCCGACGTAGTGATGTGCTGTAGTGTACGAGGTGCAATGTAATTTCATATAAAATGCCTGGTCATTTCTTTATCCTTAGTTCTTTGAGAAGCAAGTATGTAAAATTTGAATGGCAGCTGTAATTTTGATTCAACTTTCGGATATGTGTGTACTCTATTTCCATGATTGGTCCACTCTCATTTTCTGCCTTTTTATCGTCTCTCACGATTGTATCTCCATTATTTTCATAATATACAGATCTCTGATTACTATGATATAATGTAAGTTGCAGCCTCTTGTTCACTTTTTTTTGGCGACAATAGGATAGCGTATTGAATTTCAAAAGGAACTTGACATCGTTCTCTTATTAATATGAAAAGATCTCGTTGACGTTCCTTAAAGTTGGATTAACAAAGCCAATAGGCAATTCATTTTTCTTTTTGATGGTGCGAAAAGTCGGCAGTATGGCGAAAGCTGACTTTGATCAGAGGCAAAGGGAGTTGTACAATATGGTGGCAAAAGAAAATTCGAAACTGAGTGTTGATGCACTGTTGGTAAGATAACTAACTGTTTTTGTATTATTTTTATTTTAAATTTGACATATCCTAATTACAGCATTATGTTTGTATTGTATATTATTATAAAATAAAATGTTTGTGTATTACTTAATAATTGACAGGCAGTTTTCAGCTTTAGTTCGCTTGCCTTTTCTGGTTTCAGAATTTCATAACTGACCTGACCTCATTTCTATTTATTTCAATTTTGAGTTAGAAACCAACGAATCAAAGATTTTCATTTTTGTATATGTATGCATCTACAATCCAGCTACAGTTGTCTCATTTCGAAGATAAACCTTTTGTACGATCTGACTCTAACACTAAAACTTGGTGTTCTTATAGTTGTTGCTGTTATTACCATTTTTTCAATGAAATGTTTCAGAAGATAAGATGAATATTTGCGTATAGCATATTTGTGCAGTTATAGGAAAGCATTACACATGTGCATACATAATATTGTTATATTAATAGGGTTAATAATTAATATGTGGCATTTGTAAATTTAAAGAAGTTCTATTCTATAGTTAGAGAAAGTGAAGACATATCATAATGTTAAGGTAGTTATGACCGAATCCAGTCTAGACATAATTCATTAATTCGGTCAATTGAAATTTTGTGTGAATAGATGATATGCATCTCTGTTACGTGTTTTAATACACACAATACTTTACCTCATGTCACATTTGTACTTTCTTTGATAAGGAATTGGACATAGGGAAAGGATACTTTGAGTTACAAACTTCAGATTTACTTCATGTAAATAAGCATAGAAAACTCACGATTACGTGTCAATTTGGTAAAACAAGCAAACATATCCTGGTACCCACCACAGTCCACAACAGTATTGTTTTTGTGATTTGACCAATAGCAGTATAGGGAATTATGCTCATGCATGCCATTCGAAAAGTTTTGTATTCTCCAATACCCTCCAAGTTTGATTGCAATGTTAATTGTACTTCTATTCATTTTCTCCATATTATTATTATTTATTGTTACCTCTAGTTGAAAGTTCACAGCAGTTTGTTTTGTACAGAGTTTTACCATTCCTCCTTCGTGCCATAATTAACCAAATAAAACAAAGTTTAATTGGCCTACTTTGCTTTGTAGGAACCTAGTATGAGTAAATGTGGCATGTATTTTTGTAGACTATTATATCAGACTGCATTTTAAGGTTTTGGTATTCAGCACAGAATCTAAAATTTATTGCATTCAAAAACTACATTTCTTTTCAAGTGCTTAATCATTGAAGTTTTGATTGATAATTGATGGGTATTCACACAAAGGCATCTCGAATTGATGCCAATGATTAAGTGTGTGTAGGTTTATAGTATATCATTGAAAATTGATTTAATTTGGAATATGTCAATTTGGGGATTAATGGTTGTTATAATCTTCAACTGAGTGTTCCAATGGAGATTACCTATACAGTGGAATTCTTGATGGAATCCGATTTTATAATAATGAGTTTTATGAATTATTTGCTTCTCAATTGACTATGTGTTGATGAGACACTAAAGTACATTGTTTTTTACTGGAAATAAGTAAATTTTCTAAAAAATGAAAGAAATAAATATCATTGAAAATAATGCATAGATTCATTGAAATGATGATATTCATGCTATTTTGCAAATACAGAATCAACAAACATACATATTTTAGCTTTTATTATAACATTCCACAAAAACCAAATAGTAAGAAGTCTGGTATTTGTTGTGTTATATACAATAAAAAGGTACAACACTATATAATGCTATTCTTACCAAGACCATTATGACAGTATTCAGCACGGTTTATCTATTAATATTGGCTGTACACTTATTTGACTTTCGACTACATGTATTTATTCAAGCATATAAGGCACACAATTACGTCATTGTCCAGCTTTACTACAGGTGATGAATTGAGTGCTCATGTCATACTAAATTATGCAGTGAGATCAAATTCCACAATCAATTCTTTGTAATTTTATGGTGTTAATCAGAATAATTTAGTTGTCCTTAGGCTCAGAACTTGGGCTTTGTTTCAATTTTTATTTCAAATTTTGAACCGTGAATTTTTAAAATGCCAAATGAAAATTTTTGTTATAAATGTAATATGGAGCATGAGATTGAACCCGGTTTTACTACATAGTTGATGGTAATTGGTAACAATATAGCTATAAATCCTAAAATATTTCAAGGCTTTTTCATTTAAAATAAATGACTCTGCCAAATAAAACTACCTGATACTGGTATACTGATGATATTTTCAATTAATCAAATGTTAATTTTTGATTGTAAAGTTGTTTCGGTATGCCTTCCTTTGACAAGATATAGCTGATACAACAAGACTTATATTTTTTCAATCCTATTTTGGACTAAATAATTGGTATATGTTCAGCTGGCTATAGGTCATTAAAACTGCATTCTTTTTTTAATTTCTCTAGTTTAGTTTTATTTTTCAAATTCAATTATTCATATTTCATACAATAAAGTATTAACCTAACATTGGATAATTTGTATTAAATAAAACAGTTTGTATACTAGTTGAACTAGTTTGTTTGATAGTTCTTCCAGTTTCTTATTCAAAAAAGGAATTATTAATATTGTTTTCTATTATAAACATAAAGTCACAATTATAATGAATTATTAATGCAATGTAAGCCATACATTTTATCTTTCAATTTGATGTTGAGGCCTTCTTTATGACTTAGGAACTGGTATAATACTTTACTATGGAGTTTATATAATGACCAACGGTAACATATTCAAAAAAATATTATAGAATTATTCTATCTAACCACAAGCTAGGGTTATTATAATATATTTATTGCACTGAAACGACAGTTAGTTTAATTCATTTTCTACATTATTTAAACCTAGACACAGCCCTGTTTATGGTATTCATGCACACCTGTTAACAACTTTTTGTTGTTCAATGGCAATGTAAATATATGCTTGTATCATTGTACTTCTTTCTTTTTGAAGTTTGCGTTTTTGCCCGTTTTGAGCCACTTTATTTCAACTTGAGATCCTGTATTTATATATATATATATATATGTTTTAGAAATAGTATTAAAAAACCTTCTAGATCAGAGCTTTTGACACACAAAATAGTAATACTTTACAAACTTATTTTAAAAATAGTATGTTGTGGTTTGTCTTTTTTTTACATGGTTCTACTATAAATACCAGTAATAATTATCTGATTAAGCCTTAAAATAAACAACCACTTTTCTGAATATAGGCTACATAACGTGTCAATCCTATCAAAAATGAAATCGCTGAAAATTTCAGTATAAATGTTACAGAATTTGTCGATAATTTTCTGGTTTTAGCTTAAATGATCCATGGTTTGGCATGGTATCAAATCAGTATTATGCTTGTAGTTGAAACTTACAATATATTATCTTACTATATCTTAATATATTATACTTCTGTGCTATAGTTTTTTCTTGTGGGATTGTCTTTCTCTTTATATAAGTGAATTTGCATAGTTTTCTGTGGAGTTTGCTGTTTCTCATTGTTGAAGGTCTGATTAACTGGTATTTTACACATAACCAAATTCTTGTAAATACAAAATTTACATAAGAAGCATAACCAACTGGGTTTAATTCAGTTTTAACTATTGAAAGTAATCATCACACAACCTTAATACAACCAAATTCTCCAATCAGCTAGATGGAAAAACAACATTATACACAATGCAAAAAAGGGTATGCACTATTGCCTATTGGTAGTAAATATTGTGCAACAACACGATAATCCAAGTCAAACTATTTTAGGCAAAATGCCATAGGACAAATTCACTAACGTAGTCAACTGGATATTTTATCTCCTATACTGATAATTGTATTTGATATTCATTCTAATTTTTCAATTTGTTTTCATAGGATGGCATCGTTGCATTGGTTACGGATCTAGACACTCCTGCTTTGAGAAGGAACAAGAATGTGGAAAATTTTTTAAATAGATGTAAGTATTGAATTCAACTAATCATTTAGTTATGAGCATTAGATCCGTTTGGAAAACTTTGATCCAACTTTGACAAAATAAATGCTGAATAAAAAGACTATCCTTTTCAGCAATCTGTTATGAATATATTTTCCATAAATGTCAAGTTCTGTATAAATGAGTCAAGTGTCTTATTCTCATTTGTATTGCTTTGCGGATGAGAGTACAAAGTGAGAGTCATTTCAACAAAAACAACTTTTATATTTCCAGACGCACATCCTGTTAAGAAAATTTATGAAATAAGGATGAGAGCTTCTGATTTCACAGTAGTTAAGACAATCGGTCGAGGAGCTTTTGGTGAAGTTCAACTCGTTCGTTACAAACCCACTTCTAAAGTTTATGCCATGAAGTTATTGAGCAAATTTGAAATGGTGAGTTGTGTCATTGGTGAAGTTATTCAAGAACGCATGTCGATAATGGAGTTTGTTAAATTATACCCTTGTTTGTTTTTGATCAGTCTTATTCATGGATAATTATAAAACACTTGAAAAATATGGAAACAATTGTGTTTAAATACGATGTATATCCTACTATTGCTTTGCAGTATATTTATTTCTTAATAATAAAATCCTTCATTTGGTAAAATATGTTTATTCAAGTGACATGAACCTTACCACATAAAATATTGGCATTGTTATCATGGAAAGTACTTGGCAACACAATTGTTATGACTGCTCTGATTATCATGTTGAACCACACATTCTAATTTCAGCTTACTATATTTGAGAAAGTTTCGCAGTTTTATCGGCATTTCGTGTCCAAATTGTGTGTGAATTGTGTTTGTGTGTAAATATGACATTCCTCCACTTTGGTTTTATCTAAATTTATGGACAATCATCCATATAATTTTTTGTTTTGGTATATTCCTTTTATAATGCTCCATAGATCAAAAGATCAGAATCTGCTTTCTTCTGGGAGGAAAGAGACATTATGGCACACGCCAACACGGATTGGATCGTGCGTTTGCAGTATTCATTTCAAGACAATAAATACCTCTATATGGTAATGGAGTTTATGCCTGGTGGAGATCTGGTCAATCTCATGTCTAATTATGATGTGCCTGAACAATGGGCAAAATTTTACACAGCTGAAGTCGTTCTTGCCCTTGAATCAATACACAATATGGGATTCATTCACAGGCAAGTTATCTAACTAATTAAGCTTTTTTTTACTGACGACTCATAACGGAGAGAGTCTATATTCATATTGTCTATTTCATATTCACTTGACTAACACAGACAGTCCCAGACTCGTAATAGAACTAAAATAAGGAAAATCGGAATAAAATTAATTAAGGCATAGCCTTAATCTGGTACACACACTACAGGAGTACCCGTTTTTTTCTGATATTTCCGCATCAAAACTTTACGAATTGATTCTTGTATATATATATTTTATATATATTAGACTTGTGCAACACCTATCCCCCTTTAATACCACACATCAGAATGTTTTCATATATTTTGCTGTATTTAATTCACCTGATGTGATATGGCATATGGGAGTATGTTTTTTTTTAAATAACAAACTTGAATATACTTTACTGAAGGAAAATGTTATCAAATATTCTGCAACTTCATCGATAGTAACATTCTCCACTATTCAAAATTGTTCTTAGGGTGGTATTGGTGAAATTTAGCCAACTCGGGTATTTCTAATACAACATCTTTGTGATTTGAATAGGGAATATCACATCCTATGGATAAACTGTCTTTAAAATTCGGTCCATAACTTTTTTTTTAAATTTCTATTTGTATTTTATATTACGGGTATTTATTTTTAGTCATCAGGTTAGCAGTGATATAACAAATCATTTTTGTTTCATGCACTCTCATTTTTGAATCATATGGTAAAGGAGGGACTCTGAAAATAATATACTATAATCTGTTATTTATATTTAATACCATTCATAATGTACCGGTAGTTCAATTGTGTAATATATAATTTTTTAAAAGCATTTGTCATTGAAGACCAGTCGACAATAACAAACATTGTAGTTTATTATAAAATTTATTATTTGTTTTAGTCACTTGAGTACATTTATTAAAACAAAATTGTACAATAGATATTGCCAGTTGAAAAACTGGCCAGTTTTCTGTTTCATTCAATATTGATGACTTCTCCACTGTTGTGGCTAACATAAAGCTGCTGATTATTTAGTCCATAGTGCCCGATATTGTATATTGCATGTATAATAAATAGTCTTGTTACAACGTTGTGTGTCCTATGGGAAGTTTATACGTATTGCTGCATGACGTAATCCAACTTCCAAATCATTATGATATTTTATTGCGATATGGAACCATAATATTGGTAATTAAAAGTATTGGGTATGGTGGAAATTGCCTATTAATAGATCTAAGGCTCATATTAAGGGTTCTTTGACAGTTGTTTCCATAAAACCCAATTCCGGGCATTTATTTGGTGATGTAGAGAGTTCATGAAGCCTGTATTAAAATAGGTAAAAGAACTTTAACATGCTCCGTGCAAATGATGGTCGGCATAAATAAAGGTGTATAAAATAGTAAGTTAAAAAACTAAATAACTGATTGAAATAAAACAAACCTGGTTAATAAGATATATTAAGAACTGACTTCATAACACTATTTTGAAATTGTAACAGGAATTTATGAACACTCATCATAGCTTGGCTTGGCACATTGCCAATAATAATCAATCTTTAAGTCAAATCATGCTTCATAAATATAATGTTCTGGATTGTGTCAGGAAATATATAATTCAAAAACGTGAAATAGTTTTTGTATATACTTATTAGGATAACTTAAATTACGCAATTAATAAGTTTGATTGTATTCAGACTGCATTATGATATTATCAATGATATTTTATTTATAGTTTGTTCTTCTTAATGTGATGTGAATTTACTAATTAGCAACTGTCTGCTTTTCTGGTAGAAATTGTCAATATTCAAACATGAACTACAAATACACTCATACCAGATGTGTTGTTCAATATTGTCCTATTGTTAGTTATATATCTTGTGATATAATTACAGTACAATTCAAGTTATTTCATGCTTGTACTTAGGGTGGCTAAATTAAAATAATTCAACTTTTCTAACCTACTAATATTTTGGAATATAAAGTATTGTGACATTCTAAATTGGGTCATTTTCAAGAGAGGCATAAATCAATAAAAATTTATAGTAAATGAACGATGAATTTAGTTTTGTTAAAAATTAAGTAAACGTTGTTATTATTGATTTTCTGTTTTTGCCTTGCCTGATTTAAGTGAAATCTATTTTTTTTATCTTGATCATCAGATAGTACTTGATTAAAATGACAAATAAAACTGACCTAAATTTCCTTATATTACTAAATTGAATGTATACAATCATGAATGTATTCGATTTATTGTGGATTATAATGCTTATTAGTTTATGGAACTTGTCCTATTATCTTGTTTCATTGTCAGCAAATTGATCACCAATAAGCAAAAATTTTACAAATTTAAAATATTTGTGTTTGTGGTTGGTATGCTGTCATCCATACAATTATTTCAGTAAATGAAGGAAAAACAGTTTTTATTGTTAATTAGATTGCATGGTAACTTTTTATATTTGTCTATAAATCTAGCACTCAATATGTATCCTTAATTAACCACGTTTCTTTTGGTAATAAATTTACTTACTTTTTTATTCAACAGGGATGTAAAACCTGACAATATGTTACTGGATGCTCAAGGACATTTAAAACTTGCTGATTTTGGAACTTGCATGAGTATGGACAAGGTAAATGAATAATTATTATTCAAACACCTGCGGTAAATTGAATTCTTTATTGGAATTAGGGATATTTGTGTCTGCATAGTTGTTTATTTTAAAATTTTGTTCAGAATATCAATTTTGAATATTCTCAATGAATCGAATTTGGCAAAAAATGAGTGATATGAACTTTGATTTTCCAGCAAAAGTATAATTCAAATATTTTTTTATTTGGAATTTTTTACTAATTTATTATAACTAAATTCTTGAAACATCTTCACTAACAGCTATTGTCAATTTTTATGCAAGTAATTGTTTGTGAAACTACCCCAGTCTTACTTCAAATGTTTCCTAGTGAAAAGGTAAACTAACCTGTAATGATAAATTGATTGAATCATAAATTTCAATGATTTCAATCCCTCAATGATCATTATTTGTTTTATCTTTATTCATCAAATATCTTCAGTTGAAATTTTTGAGAACATCAATATTGTGTTATGACTAGTCCCTTATTTTTGTTTTCTAGGAGGGCATGGTGCGTTCTGACACAGCCGTTGGCACTCCTGATTATATTTCACCTGAAGTATTGCAATCACAAGGTGGTAAAGGTTACTATGGTCGTGAATGCGATTGGTGGTCGGTAAGTGATTGCACGATTGACCCGGATTCTTGTTTTTCAATAAATTATTTATATGTATCTTCTAAGTATCTGCTTTTCATTTTTTTATCAGTGTATAATCATAGTTTTTTTTAAACGATAAAATGGATCGTATAGCATTTAGAATATTACAGAATACAAATGAAAAAATTTTGCCAGTATAGGATATACACAACATAAAACAAAATGCAGCATACTTCACATACAATCTAAGCATTTATTTTATATATTTGACATGTTTATACACCATTCACCCAGAAGAACAAATTTTGTAATATCGTACCTTAAAATATTATTTTATTAATCTAGCTCAATATACCCAATTGCTATATTACTCCATTATTTTGTCCATGATAAATTATTATTTTTGGGGTCATTTAAAATACTTGTTCTGATATATGAAACTAATCTCGCTTTTCTTATTTGGTTAGGTTGGGGTTTTTCTTTATGAAATGCTTGTTGGTGACACCCCATTCTATGCCGATTCTCTTGTCGGAACTTACGGGAAAATTATGGATCACAAAAATTCATTGAGTTTTCCTGATGACGTCAGCATGTCGGATCATGCTAAGAAATTAATATGCGGATTTCTCACAGACAGGTACATGAAGTGGTTTTGTAAATCACCAAAATCATATTATTTATTAACGATATATACTGTTGCTTGAATGGGATTCTTTAATGTGAATAGTTGATATAATCCTCAATAGGTTTATTAGGTATGTATGCAAATTTAGTGCATTGTGCAGCAAAGTATGGATATAAGTCATATTTTATTTTATCAATTTCATCAATCGAACACCGTTTTGCTGTGGCTAGGATTCTACCTTATACCAAATATTAGGACAGTTTATCATAACTCATACTGTGATTTTAGTGTTATTTTCAAAGTACTTTTAAGTTCCTCAGAGTAGATATGCACGATCCCAGTGGCATAATGGCTTTATCATCAGTATTGTTAAGTTTTATATTATTAAGAATTCAATTTATTTTGCGCTCTACTCTCACCCGGTACTATATTTTGTTTTTCTTATATTTCTAATTTATGTATGATTACCATTGAGCTTATTTTTTTCACAGTGACCGTCGACTTGGTAGAAAAGGTGTTGAAGATATCAAAAAACATCCCTTTTTTAAGAACGATCAATGGACATTCGATAATATACGCCAAGGTATATTTACTAAAATTTTTCAATGCAAAAACAGTTGTCATTATCTGCACACATTTTGATGCATTCTATATAAATTTTTTAATACTTAAATTGTTTATGTTAATTCCTGTATCCTGGTTTAGTAATTCTGGTTGATGAAGCATAAAAATTGATATTGTTTTTGATATTTTTCGTATTCAATCTTTTTTATCTTTGGTTATTCTTTGGTGCAATGCCAATCGCTGGATATGTTCTTTATGTGTTTTAGTTTGGATTCTGGCTTTGTTTCCTTTGTTTTGCCGGACAATTTTCAGGTGTATTTAAATACCAATTTGTTTATTAATGAAGGAATTTCTATCGGTTCAATTTCAACAACATTTCTCTTTTTCCTATATTGTTTTGATATTAATTAGATGATTATGGATCACAGAAATTGAATCCTCTCTCACTGCTGAATGCTGATGCAATTATTATCTGTTATTTTTATATAAGCATCTTAGAGCCTGTGATTTTTGCCTTTTACTGCCCTATGATTTGTGTGTGAATTGATTGCCATATTTGTTTGCAACCCTGGACCAAAATATTAAGTTCATGAATTTTTGCCGTTGACCAGCTCAAATTATGATTATAAAACGCTCTCATTCGCAAATTTTCTTGTTTACTTTTTTAATTCATTGCCACATTTTTGCTACGTTTTCGTTTCGCTCTGGTGCACATCTGTGATTGATGATGAATACTGGGCTGCTACTTCGCAATGGGTTTTCCACTATATTGCACTTTATGCAGGGATGGGATTTTGCCTTAATATCATATTCCTATGGTGTGGCACAAGGAAATTTACATGAGGCACTAGATTATAGTGTTGCTTAAGGCATAGATACAGTATGGCTTAATTAAGCTGGCGAACAGCTGAAATTATAGTGATCATTGAAATGTGTTTCTTTATGTAATCAATGATCACCAATAAATTGAATTTCAATTTAAAATAATAAGGAATATGGTTCGAATAATCTCAACTATCAACAAAACATGGTCATATAAAATATACTTTGAAACTGATCATTTAACATGCACATACTATCAAACAATGCATCGATTGAAAATTAAACAGTTTTTATTTTTTGTCCTCATCTATGCCAAAGATTCCAACCAACTTAATACACACTTACCGAAAGGCAAAAGCACTGTGATTTCACTGAAAGGCAAAAACTCACTGGTGTTATTGATACATGAATGAAAAATTTCTATTAGCCCTAGTAGTTAGGTTCAGAAGATCTATATAGATCTACTGTACACTGTAATAATGACATTTACTTTGTTTGAATCATTTATGATGTGTATCAAGTGCATGTGTCATAAATCATGATTCCTTGCGACATGGCGGCAAACTGCACGAAAAAACAATACCTTTGATTTTTAAAATTTCTATATATGCTCTTTCTGAATGGTATTTATTTCAACTATAATATAAACCCAAATATTTTAAAAATCCTGCCTGCTTGCAAGTTCATAGAATATATTGTGTTTCGTGTCAACATATACTTCGTCAAACGTGAAATTACATACCTGTATGTACTCTTTTTTTTAATGCAGCATTAATTTAACCAAATTCAATGTCTTTACCTTTGTATTCTGAAGTAGCATAATTGTTAAAATATACGTTTAACAATTGTTTCGAGACTTGTGTCAACCGGTCTTTAATTTGTTTAATTGATTTGTAATGCCCAATTTTATAAATTCTTGATGGCACCTTAGTGGTCGGCCATTTAACTACGCTCAAGAGTTCTTCGAGCGAATGCGTGCGACCATGCTTCAAGCAGATTTTCTTTAACAAAAGTTATTATTCTTTCAGCTGTTGCCCCAGTAGTACCTGAGTTGAGCGGAGATACAGATACAAGAAATTTTGATGATATTGATGATGACAAAGGAGATGAAGAAATTTTCCCAACTCCAAAAGCTTTCACTGGAAATCATCTCCCGTTTATTGGATTCACTTATTCTGCCGATACCATGTAAGTTAGAGAGATAAATAAAAAATAGCAAATTAAGAAATAATCACTCATTGCAAGATGATTGACATTAAAATAGGGGCGCTCCAGAAGTATGTGTACCAATATGGAGGTAACTAATTTTGTTCGCCTACTTTAAATCAAGTTGTGTAAAGGGACTGAGACCTATAGACATGGTATATTCACTTAGCTAACACAAACACTCGTAAAAAAACTAAAATAAGGAAAATTGGAATGAAATTTTGGCCTAACCTGGTACACGTACGGAGTACCGAAATAGGTATGTATTACAATAGTATTGGACAATGGATACTAGATAGTCTTTGATTTGAAACTTATTTAATGTTGTGCGGCAAATTCTGGATAAAATAAGGCACTATTTTATTAATAGCCTAATAAAAATAATATTTTCCTTAAAATAGTTTTGCTGGCTTTTCACATTGCAGATATCTCTGTATAAGCACTAAGCAGCCTGATATACAGTATAAAGAGCTACTATTTTTTGAAACGGTGATTGTACATTTGAACCCACGTACACTTGAACCCATGTGTACATCCACGGGTTCAATCTATATGCGAGTGTTAGAACCCATGGGTTAGGGTTAGTATGGGTTCAAATATCCGCAAAACAAAAAAAAAATTCCATAGGTGCAATAGCATGCAGGTGCAATTGCCGTGGGTTCAAATGTAGGTGGGTTCAAATGTACAGGAACCTTTTGAACCGACTAGAATATTTTTGGTTCGTTCGGGCAGATTATTACACCCTGGGTGAGGTGTGAGGCATGGGATTTGAAACATAGATTATAATGCCCACATTATTGAATCTAACATTTGACAATTTTACACCTAAACTATATTTTTGAACTGTGCGTAAAACTTGATTACTTATCGATTTTAATCGGTAAGTATGTTGATAGGTATTTGTCTGTCTGTCTGTCTGTTAGATGCACGCGATATCTCATGAAAGCGAGATTGAATCTGCTCCAGATTTTGCATGTGCATTCATCATATGTCGGACCAGAAGCCTATTGATTTTGGATGAATTATGTCGTATAATTAGCGAGTTATTAATTAATTAGTGATGGGACACAAGGTGTCACTATGGAGTGAGAGCGCTGTTTTTGGGATTCCCTAACTTTCGATCGATAAGTCTTCGGTCTCTGTATTTATTTATTCCTCAAATGCAACTGACTAAACTATGGTGATTCTATATTTACAAGAACTAAATTGAATATGTCAAGGCATTAGTACTTTTTGTTAAAACTTTTGATGAAATTTTTCAGGTTTAAAATGGGAAGCTCTGGAGGTGGTGCTGGTGCTAATGTGGCCGATATTCCAAATGGTGGAGTTGTATCTAATGAGGTAAGACAGTGGAAACTATTTTTATCATAATACAATAATATCAAACCTATCTATTTGGTACACGTGGACGATAAAATCTTTGAATTGAAAACATAACTGCACTTATCATTAGTGTGTCACAGATACATATTCTTATACTTCTTAGAATATTGAGTTATTATTGGATCGCCCATTTTACATAGTTTTACTTCTACTACTAGTTGAAAAAAAGATTCTCTTCTGTCCAATTGTGATACATCAGGTTATACTCATTTTAAGTGATTGTAGATCAATTATTCATTAAATTCATAAAATTGACCGTTGAATCTGCAAGGAATTTAAAAAAAATTCCCATAAGCGGTATTTGATGATGGAGTGATATCCAGCTATATTAGCAGCAAAATCTTATGACAGTAATTGAGATTTAAAAATTTCTACAAAGTTTCTATGTAGAAACATTGTAATGAAATACCATATATATTTTTTTTAATTTTCAAATTTTTTTAGGAATTGGATATGTTGAGAAACAGGGTCAAAGAACTTGAACACGTTTTACATCATGAAACAAAAGATAAAGATGGAATACAAAATAAATTCAAGTATGCTTATTAGTTTTTATGTCATTATATCATGCGCATTATGTTTTGCATTAGCAAAATTCTGAAAAGGATTGTTAATTCAAAATTGTGAGTTTGTTGTTTTGTCTATTGTGAAGGAAGATCCCCAACTTCAGACTAAAATTAAGAGGTCCTGGTCGAAATTAACAACAGAATAAAAATTTCCAGTAATCATCCAAGTTTTCCTCACATAGCTTGGCTTAAGAGTTGTACTTTTTGTCACTTTGTCGCCAGAGACTAATTCAGTTTGAATAGCTCAGAATCTGATAGAACCTTACAGCAACAATGGTTTTATGGTTTATTAATAATAAGTTTGAATTTTTTAAACTTTTCCTGTGTTCAAAGTAATAATTTCGTATGTTCAAAATTCAATTAATTTCACAGGCAACTCAATGCTAAGTTCGATTCGGCCGCTCGAGATCTGGAGGCAGAACGTGAAAGCAGAAGAAACATAGAAAAAGAAATGAGACAGATGGAGAGAGAAAAGACAATGCTGCAACATAGACAACAGGAATCTCAAATGAAAAGTGAAATGGAATCAGAGAAAAGAAGAAAAGTGTGTTTCATTTAAAAATAGTTAATTAAAACTGTTTGATTTATTAAGATTATCAACATGAATTAGTACAAGTAATCTAGTAAACCCTAAATATTATAAAATCAGCTTCACTTGAGAAGGTGCACACATAATTACTAAGCAGCCCAGTTCTGGCTGACATTTCTGCGTTACCTGTTGGTTGATCTAATCAAGATATTAATCACAAATGATGTTTGCTCTTAACAACGCCCTGGTCAAGCAGCCACTAATATATGTATTAATGCAGTGGTTCCCAACCTTTTTGTCAAGCGACCCAGATTTAAAAAAAAAATTTGTAAAATCTTGCAAACCAAGGATATTCTTGCATACTGGACTGTATGTAGTGCTTTTATGGCCGCAAAATTAAATGTCTACTACAAAACAGTCATTTGTACATAATATTCATTTCAACACAAGTTAATTGCGCTTGTTTGTAAGTTGCGCTTGTTTGCTATTAGCAAGTTTTTGAAGTCGGGGCGCGGGTTCACTTAAGCAGATAAGACCCTGTACAAAATTACGATTGAGCAATACTACAATACCAAAAAAATTTATTTAAAATATTTTTGTCGCAAAAACAGGAGACACAAGAAAAAGTTATGCCTCGCGACCCATAGCTCGAGAAACACTGTATTAATGTATATGATAGCTAAGATGTCCAAACTAAAATCGTCTATCTGCATTTTGCAACCGTAACATAGTCAAAGTCCAACATGCTGATTGCTAGTCCATTACTTAGCTTATATTATTTATATATTAGAAAGTAGAATCATAAACCATTATAATTAATGTAAAGAATTTTATTCGCTTCAGACTCATTTTCTCATCGTCAGATTTTTTATCGCTCTTGTTTTCTTCAGCTCGAGCATGATCTTGTCAATACAAGAAAGCAACTCGAAGATTCAATTTCGAGAGCAGGTGAAAAAGTGAAAGCTGAAAACAGTGCTCGTACCGACATGCTTGCTAAACAAGTGGAAGAACTCACAATGAAATTAAAATCAGAAAATGATACTGTATCAAAATTGAGAAAATCACAACAAGAATTGAAAAAGGTTTGAATTGTTTTTGTTGCTTTTGGTCAAAGTAAGAGTCTAAGAGAACGATTTTGTGAACATAATGAAACTACAACATAATAGTTCTGTTTGGGTCAAAGATCGGAAAAAATTGCAATTTCGCTCTCTACAAGGCATCAGAAAAACAGCCAATTTGGATTAGGTGATATTATATTGTCTACTTGATACACACAGGGTAAAGTAGTTTCTCGGCCATTTGGTGGACTAGCTGGGATTCAAACCTCTAATCTTTCACATATGTTGCTAAAATAGCTTGGAAAATGAACAATTAAGACCGGGCTCTTCAAACCAGGGGTCCCGACCCCCGGTGGGTAGCGAAAGGGTTCGATATGGGATTGTAGTACCAATCCATATTTACTCTTCTTCCTTCTGTCTCCACTTTTTTGTGTGAAAAATCTTTTTCGGCACCAACTTATGCTAAAACAAAATATTGATTAAATTTGAAACTAGGACCGATCTTTTGTGCGAGGCTATGCAAGCACTTCGGTCTTGTTAAAGTTTCTGGGGGTCCCGAAAAAATCTGGCCCTGCCAAGTGGGTCGCAATGAAAAAAGTTTGAAGAACACTGAATTAAATTATACTTTAATTTATTTGATTCGTATACCTGCATAATTCTTATTAAGATAGTGTAAAAATCAGTTTTCCTTATGCACAGTCAATGATGTTGCACACGACTTCGATAGCTCCCACTTTGAGTTGTTTTTATATTTGGCATATAAGTTGTGAAATGTTTTTTTATTTTTTTTACTGTTTTAATCTAAACAATTCTTACAGAACATAACTTTCTGGGAAAATAAAAGCGCAGAGTTGAAAGAAAATCTGACCAAACTAGAAGAAACGAATAAAACATTGGACAGACAGAAGATGAGATTAGAAAGCATGAGATCTGAGGAAAAAAGTCATGGCGAACACAGGATAAAAGATCTCGAAGGTAATTTAACATAAATTTCTAACAGAATTTTGAGACTATCTGTGTTGTTTCTTCGTTCTTGAAACGATGCATTTAAATATATTTCAACCTCGTTGGATCTTAATTTTAAATTCTAGTTTTAAGTAAAATTGATGTTTGCAAATAACTTCAGGATGATCACAATATTTATCCTTCAGCAAAATTTGCTTGTTTTAAAGTGTAATGTTTTTTTTTATCATTACAAAAGAAACACCTAAATACCTTTGTTGCTTTGCCCTTGCACAATAATTCCGAATTTTTTTTTTTCCAATTTTGTGTGCTTATAATTTTACTGGTTGGAAAATGAAACTTGACTTTACTTGTTGCAATTATAAATATCGTACTCTTTCCAGATAATGTGAAAGCCCTGCAGAAGGAATCTGAAATACACAAACAGCAGCTAGTTAAAGTTGAAAATGAGAAGAGATCTGCCTATGATAAAATGTCTACATTGGAAAGGGTGAAATTTTTTTTTAAATATTAATTTGAATATTATTATACCTTGGGTTCGAATCATGGACTTCAGCCCTTGAGAATATAGATCGGAAAAATGAGGAAATCATAATATTTTCAATCTTTAATCTCCCTTAATTTGAAACGGTTTGGTGAATGTTGCTTCAAACTTTGATTAATTAACACAGGGTAGAGATCGCATACCGTATTTGTAATATTTGAGAACAGAGGGGCCTGAGTCATTTTTGTGAAATTCACTTTATTCAATATTTTGGGGTTTTGAGCCATGCTCTACAAGATGGTGGGTGGTCTTGAAACTGTGAATTTTCTCAATAATAAAAGTTTTCACTGGACTTAGGACCATAATATATTGTAGAAGTTAAGAACAGAATAGGCATAAGTTCCAATATGATGGGCATGGACATCAGAAATAAAATGTCCGAAACTTACATCCCTAAGAATTTGTTCAGTGCAACTTAGGCCTAAGTCACCTTGTTTTACCTTGCATCCCATAAGAAAAATTTCAGAACTTGTTGAAAACAGAATGGGCCAAAGTTCTTTTTGGGGGGTAAAAAAACAGAAAGGAAGTGCCAAAATATATTGATTACAAAGATATTCTCATCCACATTAAAATAACCAGAGCTCAGGTCTTTACTAAGTGTGAATATCTAGAAATTCAAAATTAACGAAATGCTAAATCGATTTTTGCGTTTATCTCGAAACTCAAAATTGTGATTTAGGCCTGTTCTGTTCTCATCCGGCGATATTCTATAATCATCTGTTACCATTTTTCATATTGAGTGCCATGCTGTTTTTGAACGTGTTTCACAACTGAAAATAAGGTTATGTAAAAGTGAATTATTATACTAGGTTACACTTTTTAAAATTAAATAGGAAATGAGTGAAGCCTTATTGGTTAAGGTACGAATGAGTTTTTACTATTTTCGACATGATAGGTGTTTTAATAAATGAGTCAAATCAGAATGTCTGAGATTCTGGGGTATGATTACAATCATCAACACTTTTAAAATAGTGTATAAATATGTACTTCTCTATACAGCATAACACAAGATTGCAGTTTGATTATAAAACAATTGAAGAGTCATTGAAGAAAGAACAAGAAGAACATGCGAAATCTAGAAAAACATTGGACTTGAGGAATAATCAGTATGCTTCTATTGAAGGAGCAAAATCTGAAGCAATGAAAGGTATTTATTCATTTTTTCAAAATTTGTAAATATGTAATGCTACTTGAGAGTTTGAGAAAACTAAATATCAACTAGTTTCCAATGTTGAACATTTTGGGGAAAAAATGGTACTTCCGAAGTATGTGAACCAAGATGGGGGACACCGGAACGTAGTATGTGTACCTGGTTAGAGTTCCATCCAATTTTAAACACTATGTAACTGCTTTATACCGCTTGTTGTAATTGTGTTATAACGAATATAAAAAAATAGCTGCGAGAATAATAAAATCATTCATCTCACATTCTCCTTAGAGACTGAAGTTCATTAATATAAAAATTTCTTCTGCAAATTTATTTTATTTTTATAATTGGTTTGATATTTCGGAGTTATTATTAACGTCTGTATAGATTATCTATTACCACTATCTACTTCAATTTCAGCTGTTGAAGGACAACTTGTTCAGGAGAAAAAAATCAGAGTTGCATCAGAACGAGAAGTTGTTGATTTAAAGAAACGAGTCACTATGATGGAATTTGATCTCACTGATGCTAAATCGAATCTTGATAGAATAACAAAACTGAAAGACAGGAAAGAGAAAGATGTTAGTTTATTTATTATATTTTAATGAACATTTTTTACACGATTACTCTAGCAAGTTAGGCTTTGTACAAACGACAAAGTATGGATGTGATACTATACTGATTCTTTCTTGGTGAGCATATGTGGACTCACACTCATATGAGATCCATAAATGGAGTACGCTATTAGGACACTATGCACTACTTTGTACCAGGGATGTCAAAAACTAATCAAATATTCAAATAAATTTTAAAGTAATTAGCATATTATATTTGATATATAAATTCTTAGAATTTAAGGATTTAGAATATTTTCATTTCATAAAATGTCATTTGGAGTAATTAAAGTCTAGCAGTATAACAATCTTAGTTTGATTTCTCAAAACTGTAAAAATTAAAAAAAATCAATCAACATGACCTAAGCTTAGAATATATTCTATATCTTGTATGAGAATATATTATTTAGAATGTGTTTTGGCCTTCCCTAGCTGAATCACAACAAAGTGCAATTTTCGGCACTTCAGAAGTGTATGTACCAATATGGAGGTAACTAATTTTGTCTACTTTACATCAAGTTGTGTAAAGGGACTGAAACCTATGGGCAGGGGGTATATTCACTTGGCTAACACAGACAGTCCCCGAACTTGTAAATTTGTAATAGAACTAAAACAGGGAGAATCGGAAAAAAATATGGTCTAACCCCAACCTGGTACACGCATGACGCGAGTACCCAATTCTCTTCAGTGTAATAAGAAAAAAATACAAGTGTGCTGTTTTGAAAAGAACTTTGAAGGAGAAAAATAATTTTGTTAAAAATGAATCAACTTTTCGTTTGTTTCATGAGTTATGCTCTTGTTAATTTCTATTAATAATTATATTTATATATTTTTTCAGTTGTCGGAACTTCTCAGTTCCAAAAATCAAGAATCAGCTCAAAAGAATAGTCTTCAAAATGAACTCAGTGCTTTGAATGCCGAAGTGAAGACATTGAGATCAAGTGAAAAAAATTGGAATAAGGTAATCAATGATATCTGTGTTGTTTGTTTGCATCTATAAGAGAGTTAAAAGTATTTTTTCTGGACCAATTTGATATAAAGCCTATCCGAAATTTACACCTCCTGAATTCAGATCAGCAAGCCCTATGTTATTATTCAAAGATCTACTGTACTATTATGTATACCAAAATTCTCATTTGGGGGATTTCAACACATCGTACAGTTGGAAATACATACCTTCACTTTGATTATGGCTTTAAAGGGTCAGAAATATATTGCTTTCAACTCGCTCTGTTTTATGTCTTTATCTAATGTCTCATAATATTCTAGTTTTTTATAAGGTTTCAATATCAAATTTTGAAAATTTCAGGACCTCTCAAGCCTTCAAGATGACAAGCAATCTCTCGAGAAGCGAATTCAAGAAATGAAGAAACAAAAACAAAACATGGATGGACAGATGAGAGAATTGCAAGATCAACTAGAAGCTGAACAATACTTTTCTGTAAGTTTCAAGTACCGGTACTTAAAATGGGGAAAGAATTTTGATTTAACGAAACTCACAATTTATATTATTAATACAGAGACTCTGAAATCATTATTATGGTAGTATTCTGCAATATTGCTATGGCGAGCGGATTTAAGTCATAATTTACTGAAATATTACCAAAAAAAATATTTAAAGACTCTGTGCTGATGAAGAATATAAAAAATTGAATGAATTGCAGGAATGATTGCTAGGATATATTGCACAACATGAAAAATTATGTATAAACTTTTATCTCACAAATTTGAGTAACTCATATTGTTGTCACACTTTTTGTTGTTGCATATATCATTTTTTAATTGTTCCTTTCTGCTTTTTTATTTCTCAATAAAGTCTTAACTTGTTTTCATCTAAATAGTAATGCTAGAGACAAAGTGCAAAAGAAGACTTAATTGCCTGGTGATCATTCATGTGTAGTCCCTGTCTAACGATTGCCCCATTTTCCCACTCATTACCCATTTTTAAAATACTTTGGTATCTTCAGACAATATAATCAAATATACTCTTTATATCTTCTGTTCTTCAATAGTTAGTATCAAACATTATTTTTTTGCTACTGCATGTTGAAACAGAGTGGTTGATCAATAACACATCTGGCATGAATCCGATAATAATGTTTCTATACTGACCTTTTTTTTTGTTTTCAATTTCAGACCTTATACAAAACTCAGGTTCGAGAATTAAAAGAAGACAAAGAGGATTTGGAGAAGAAATGTGATGATCTTGTTCGAGATTATTCACAAATTAAAGATGAAAGGTATAATTTTGTCCTTTTTTTAGTTAATTCTACAGTATTTGCCAAATTTTCATTACATTTTTTAAATACATATCTGTCCAAATTAATAAACCACAAGGTAAAGGAAAGTTTCGGAATCACCAAAAAAATTATTAATAGCTGTTTCCTAATTTCATTCTTTTAGTGTCATAATATTCATTTGAATTGGAAGGTTATGAACCATTCAATTGTATGAACATTTCAACTTGGCGTGGTAAATGATTTCAAAATCATATGTACGAATTTGACATCATATTGTCAGTTTTCATCGAAGTTCTTTCCTAACCAAATATGGGTTTAAATAGTAGATTTTTCTCAAAGTCATAATTAAGCACTCAAGGTCAATGATATTTCTAAAACAGAGTTTTTATCTGGTCTATGAATATATATCATGTAATTTGATTTTTTCATATTTCTATGTAGAACCCTTTTAAAATTGTTAAGTTACGTAACTTGTATCTTTCGTTTATTCCAAATTTTTAATCCTTCTATCATAACCAAATCCTAAAAGGGAATCAAATAAGATGAGGTATGATGAAGTAATACTCAAGCTTGACGCTGAGTATGCTGCGAGAAAAGTGATCGAAGGCGAAAAATCGAGTATTGAAAAACAAAAACTCGAATTGGAGTTTGAACTTCGTCATACAAGAGAAAAAATGGATGCAGAGAAAGAGAAAAGTGCCGAAATATTGGCTGTGAGTTGGCTTGGCAGTTCGATCTCAAAACTGCTACTGCTGCACGGCTGGCAAGCTGTGAGCCCGTTTTAACCCTCTTTTCCTGCCCTCTTGCCTGAAAAGCATTTGATTTTACAGAATACTTGATTTACTCCATGCTTGAAATCTCTGTTCTTTTTCTTTGATCATTTTGTATCCTACGAAAGTCAAAACTCTTGATTAGAATGAATATTCATGCATGCTGCCAACTTAAATTGTATCTACTGAAATCCTGTACTGCAGGGAAAGTTTGGTCATTCAAATGCAAAACGTGCAAGCCAATCGCGCTATACAAGACCAGTGGCGTATCCATTACGAACGAGAAATTGTTCAACTCCAGCTTGATAAGGTGGAATCGGAAAGCGTCATCAAACAAGAGCGTGCTGTCTCCAATAATAAGATGTCATTTGTGAGTGCAGGATAGAGAATCCTATCGTGTGCTGCTTTTTACGTCATCCAACACTTTGTGATAATAATGCTCAAAATCTTTTTGCTGTTGTTCTTACGCTGAATTAATTCAAATGCTGGTTTGTTTCACTACTAATATTTATCATTTAGCTTATTCAGCACGCTCTGTCTAAAATTTGTAGTTTGTTTAATTACAATACCAAATCTACTTCATAACTAACGTTAAGACACAATTCGAAATTTTTAGATAACTTATATGCAAATTGCAATTCATGCTTCTGTTAGGGATGTTCACATCAAATTAGTCAAGTATTTCAGAAATCTGTTTAGCAATTCATTTAGATTTTGATTAAACTGAATGATATTAGCCAATCAGAATTTTTACTCCATATAATTCAACAAAAATCATTATTTATTTTCGAACTGGCAAAGTACATACCGGTACTACAATCCGAGTTCTTCTAAAACACTGAACTCTTTGTTCATTCTAAATTTATTTTTTGTATTTTTTTAATCATATTTCTAAATAGGTTCTACTGAACATTTTGTTTTTCTACTACTCAGTAAATGAATGAGTGCACTTATCGACTACAATTCCCTCTCTAATGATGGTATTTTACTTTAGAAAGCTGTATTGCAATATACCTTCATATTATTGCTGTTTTTATTAACTAAATACAACACTTTATATGAATATCAGTATTAGAAACAAGCTCATTCACAGCAGTTTTTCAAATGAACACTCTTGATAATAATCACTTCCAATATTTTGGTAGTTTTGGATCATTCTAAACATTTTGAAGTGCAAAATATTTTTATAATATTATCACTAAACTAATTCTAACATGCGTGTGAGAACTTGAAAGTGACATATAGACATAGTTGAACACGCTAAAATAACAATGATTGTAATCACTGATCCTGATTCTTTTTTAGTTTATCCCAACCCTGGATTTAGATTTTTATTTCAATTACTATCAGTGTCTGCTGTAGTATTGTTCCAATCCTAAAATATTAAATTTAACCGGTGGTTTTAGCGGAAATCTTTTGCGGTCTTCTTTGGGCTGAGGTGAGCTGTTCTTTTGGAAAGTTGAGAAAAACTTTCTTAAGATTGTCGCAATGTTGTATAGAGTCGAAAAAAAATTTCTTCACAACTTAAATTGTCATTTACTTTATATGTGTATTGTTATGGATTTTAAACAAAATAATATAATTAGAAGGGGTTCAATATATTCTGCATAATAAGTACTGCAAATTGTACATTTTATTTTCTTCAATAACAATGTTCTTTTTTGTGTGTGTGTTGATTTTTTGTTCTCTCTTTATTAACTTCTCCAATAATCAATCCTTCCTATCGAACGCCACCTCACACTTGCTTGCCTTGCCAGTAGCTGTTTGCAGAGATTAATAATGCCGTAGATATATATTTATTTGGTTTTGCTGCTTTTTAATTTTTTGGTTTCCATGTTTTTTACACTACTGGTAAGCTTTTCTACTGTAATTTACATTTGGCTTGAATAATTATATAGTATTATAATTATTAATGTAGGTAGGACTCCTGATTTTTAGTTTTAAAACATATTGAAGCAGGAAATTGAAAATGTCGAAATGCTTTTGAATTTAGTCCATGTAAATGCTGGTCAACCAATCGTATGATGCAAATAACTTAGGGGAGTAATGGTTTGATGTTGGCAGTTTAAATCTGTTGTCACACCTATGTCCAGAAAAAACTATGCTAATGAGTCAAATTTTGCGCATTTCATAGTATTAGTAACCTTCTATAAAATGAATTTGGAGGATGGGTTCATAATTATATGATAGCCCCAAACAAGTTGCCAAGTCAACCTATACTCTGCTTGATTGAGAACTTGAAATATTACTCTCAAAAGGATCACGAATGATGCTTGAAAATCTCTAAGCCATAAAAATGAGTTGTCATGAAAATTCACTTCACTTATGCCATTTTTTTACTGACGGTTCAACTTTTATACAGATGGAAGAAGATTTGGAGGCAAGTAAGTCAATTATTGAAAAGCGAGATCAAGAATTGGACGATCTTAAGAAGAAACAGAGAAGAGTTAAAGAAGGTGGGTAGAGATGATGACTTTCAATCCTAAATTATCACCTGCCTCATTTGTATGCTGTTTGTATTTAAATTGAGTACTCACCATTAGAAGAATTGAAGTCGTTCATTGGATTTTTTATCAAAAGACTGTCTTCGTATTTGTGAGGGCCTGATTTAAATAAGCCTTTGGACACATGCAGGAGGCCACGTCAGTCTTATTAATCATTGTGCCACTTGGTACACACTATCTGCTGTTGTACATGTGCTGTTATGCCGGTTATTTGTAAATAAATTTTTTTTTATAAATAGTTGCATGTTGAGACATCATTCTTGTAACCCAGTCCATTATCTGTAACTGAACACTCAGGAAAGTAATTGCCCGCCACCGCACTAGAGCCTAGTAGTGACGCCTTCATCTAGTTCTAGGGATATACTTGATTGGGTTGGCTGTAAGGCAAACTGGTTTTCTTTGGGTTCTAGTCTTCTACATTCTAGCGATGGCTTGTCTAGATCGTATTTTAGTGGAGTAAAATTGTGACAATCAATACTTAATGAGAGTGCTCAAGGTCCACTCTATTGATTTCTGTTACTATTATGAAGACTTTTCTTACGGTATAAATATAAAAATCTCATTATTATCAAATAATACTTTATGTTTAACAGACTTAGAGAAAGTACAGACAGAACTGGAAGATTCTAAGAAATCATCTGTTACAATGAAGAAAGAACTTGATCTTGAAAAGCAAAAGAAAATGCAGGCTGTGAATAAGCTTGCTGAAGTTATGAACAGAAAGGATATGGCTAATCCTAAAGGGAAAAATAAGGTAAATAGTAAAAAAGATACAAGATACATCTTGTTAGTTATGATCAAAATCGATTTTCTGGAAAGACACTATTGGATGCCCCTGTTTCAGCGCCACTTTAGGACATGACCGTTTGGCTGCCACCAGAATTGCTTTTTGAAAAATATTACAATATTTGATGTTTGTGGTCTTCAAAAATTACAGCTTTTTATCTTGAAAAGTGTAATTTATCTTCATCTATTACCAATTTTCTTCTTGTTTATCGTAGATATCTCAGGACACATTTAGAAAGAAAGAGAAAGAATGCCGTAGATTGCAAGCTGAACTTCAACAAGAGAAAGAAAAATGGGGAAGTCAATCTTATAAATATCAACAAAATATTACCGAGCTACAAGCGGTGAGATTATTTATTTTGTATATTCAATTTACTGTATCAGTTTTTCCACCACTGAAATACATCATCAATGCTTTGTTTTTTTTCAGAGTCTTGCAGAAGAATCAGCTCGATGTAATGATCTTCAAATGGCACTTGATAGTAAAGATTCTGATATTGAAATGTTGAGAACACAACTTCAACAATTACAAGCACAAAGTATTGGAAGTGGAACATTGAGTGTTATTGATGGAGATGGTGATGGAGTTCATGGTAAGAATTTATATGTTTTAGCTTCGTTTTATATCTAATGTTTCCAGTTACTAGACTTGTGATGGATCCGAGTCACTATTCATCACTCGAGAGTTTAAATGACTTGGACTTGCCATCAACTAACCACCAGTCAGACCTTATTCAGTGATTGGCTCGTCCTGTGACTTGGATAACTTATCATTCGACTTGTGACTCAGATAGGGTTTACGGACTTCTATCCAATAGTTTTCACTAGTTGTTTGACTAGAGATGCTAAATGCAATGTTTGATCTAATATAATAAATTGCATTATCTATCTTCATTACTGGAAGGCGAAGCGATAGCCGTATTCTCTTGCCTTTCTGGTGACACTCTGATTGTTGATAATTTTTCACCTTGTTGTGTACATGGAAAAACTAATTTTTTGTGTGGCCCAGCTAGATGTCTGAAGCCCACCATCAAAAAATGTTGCACACCCCTGATCTAGCATATTCATACTATAGTGCATTAAATATTTGACTAGGCATAGCCTACGTTCTAAAGCCATATTTGCATTTTCTGATTTTAGGAACACAATTCCGTCTAAAAAATTAGGATCTATAATTTATCATTTTGTATTCGTTGAATCAAAACTGTTTTGCATGTTTTTGTCTTTATCTGAGTTTATAGTTATACCTTTTTGTAAATAGTTTTCCAGGGAAGTAAATTGGAATCATTTACATAATTCAGAGTTCTTGTATCAACAAAATATTAACCCACCCCTTTTTTTCTCAGATACCAGACTTCAAGGATGGCTTTCCATACCAAACAAATCGAATATCAAACGTCATGGATATTGGAAACGTCAGTATGTTGTTGTCAGTAGGAAGAAAATTCTCTTCTATGATTCAGAACAAGATAAAAACGAATCAAATCCAAGCTTAGTTCTGGATCTTGAGTAAGTTTATTCACTTAAAATAAGATAAAGTTGACATTCTATGTGCATATCACAAAGACTTGTTCTAAACATGTCCAACATGTTTTAAAGCAGTGGTGATAAAACCCTGATCTAAAGGTCATATTTTGAATCCAGATACGGATTGATTATAACAACCAAATTTTGTTTGAAGTTATTTTTTTTTCTGTATTTCTGTTGTAATTACTTTTCATATTATTTTATATAAAACTTACGAATACTCTCATTTCAGAAAACTGTTTTATGTTCGTCCTGTTACTCAAGCAGAAGCAATGAGGGCCAAACCAGAAGATATTCCGAAAACTTTTCAGGTACACTGATCTTTCTTTGTTTATTTATTAGTCTTATAATGATGTAACAGGCATTATCAGTCTGATATTTTTAAGGATAAAATATAATAGGAATTAACTTCTAAAAACATTCCCATTATTAATGTTGAATGAATTGTAAACAGAGCTACACCAGACTTCAGGACAAATGTATTTACATTCCAGTGAACCCTTCTATAATGTGTTATAAAAATGAAAATAGTTTTTGGGGTACCATGGATCAATTTGCCTAATTGTTGGCGCAGTTGTTGGCGTAGGTTTTGCAACAAAATTATTTTTGAGCAAATAATGCACAAATCAATTTTAAATTTTCAGTACTTAAGAATTAAAGTCGCTAAAAGACTTCATTTTCTTTTCAAAATTTTGCCCCCATGGGGTCAGATATTTCACACCAAATTTTGCTGATATTATGATGCATATTACATTCCGAACACATCCTCACTTCGCTCACTTGCGGCAGTCATTCACCCTCCTTATTCGTATATTTTAACCTCGCTCTCTTCTTTATTCATTATAATGAAATAACAAGTTTATATATATTTAAAAATGCTCTTAATTAGGAAAAATCATATTCCAATTATCTTTGCTTTTATATGTGACATTTTTCTCATCATCTCGATTTTTCTAGGTATTGTACGCAAATGAAGGAGAAAGGGGACGTGACGATCCTGCACTGCCTGCAATTGAAGCAGAAGGAAAACATGGGGAGATGTCACATAAGGGACATGAGTTTATTCCAATCATGTACCATTTACCAACCAACTGCGAAGTGTGCCCTAAGCCATTGTGGCATATGTTCAAACCGCCAGCCGCAGTAGAATGTCAACGTATGTAAAGTAGTATTGAAATTTGTAGTCATAGATTTGATAATCTGTATATGAATTACATGAATCAACTACAGACTATAATTTGAACATTTATTTTTTGCTGTGATATAAAGAACTTTTTATTGTTCAGGTTGCCGAACAAAATGCCATAAAGAACATCTTAGTCAAGAGCAGATACCACCATGCAGAGGTAACACATTTTTAATGAAAAAACTATGCCGTTTTTAAAAAGTTAGTCCAACTGCTAAATTTACAAAACTTAATATCAAGTTAGAACTGAATTCAACTTATTTGTTGATTTATTTTGTAACATTTTGCTAATGTTCCATATGTGCTTTTTTCAGTGAACTTTGACATTAACTCCGCAAAAGATCTGTTAATCAGAGCCCAGTCACCAGAAGACCAAAAAATGTGGGTCACGTCACTCGCAAAAAAATTGCCAGCACATCCGCCAGCCCCTATTGACAATTCTGTTGGAAGGTAAATATGGACCTGGTTACTTTTGTATATGTTATGTTTGTGTTTTTGACAATATTTTGCGCTAAACCAGTGTTTTTCAAACTTTTTTGGCAGCCACTTGGCACAACCAAATTTTTTCGCTACCGACCCTCAGGAACTGATATCAAAATAAATTGAAATATAGTAATACAGAGAGATTATTGAGAAAAAATAATAAAAAAACTTTTAATAAAACCGACGTGCTTTCATATTTTCGCACAAATCTTGGCTATATATTGATGATGGGAGGTTACTAATCTTCAATATTTAATCATTGAATTATTGAATGAATTATTATTTCAAAATGAACTAATGTTGGAAAAGATTTTACTGATTGAGCGACCCTTATTTGAACACTTACCGTGACGCAAATGGGCCTGTTTGAAGAGCCCTGTTCTAAACTGTAATGCGATTTCTCTATGAATTCATGAATTTTCATGTATGCTACAAATACTTTTATACAAGTCTGTTAAAAGCGTGGTCACAAGTTCTCAATTGGAAATATAATAACTCAAATGCTGGAAGCATTATATAGTCTTATCCCCGGGACAGATGTCAGTTGATAGAGGTAGCTTATTACAACATACCAAAATAATGATGAAGTACCAGTGATTTTGCACAATCCAAAAGAATATTTTTTCAATTTTCAAATTGTCGATGTAAGCACCCATGTTTTCACACAATTTTAAAAAAAGGTAATATTTTAAAGACCTATTCGTTTTTATTCGCCTTTCAAAATCAAATTCACTCGAAAATGTGCCAAAATGAGCCTGCATATTATGCAAGGAGAAATACGGTACTGTTTTATTCATTAGACCTAAATTTATTATTAGAAATTCACCTCGTGTGGCATCGATGAGATATCCACCTGCACGTAAATCAAGCAGCAAGGGACCTTCAGATCGTTCACAAGCTCCACAGAGGTAAGATTTTATTTTTGCAATACTTCACCATATCTTGATCTTCCAGCTTGATCTTCTAAATAATCTATTCTGAAAGGTTGATTTTCCATGGTTTTTGCTTGAATAATCATTGCAGTACTTAATAGTTTCTCCTGTTTTATTTTCAAAATAGAATATATCAGCATGGCATGGATCCATTTAATTTGTTATTTTTTTACAATTTCACGGAGGTTTTATTTGGAAAATTTGTGTAACATTTATTTTGGTATTTGTTATTTTATGCGATGAAAATTTGTTTTTTATTTGTACATTTCACTTTATTATATTATGTTTTCCTAAACGGTGGTTTTTAACTTTTGCACTACATGTTTTCCTATTTTTCAAATGTCAAATTTTTAGTTTTATGTCATGACTTTCTATATTTTTGCATGTTTTTAATATTTGATGTTCTCTTTGACTATTCTCTATTCTAATGATAGATCAATTATGATCTGAGTAGCAGATTCCAAAGTTGAGTTATTCAATTTGATAACTGGAGTCACTTTGAGTCTTTGATGAACACTCTCTGACTTGAGTCGAGTAAATGACTCCATCCTCCCAACACTGTTTGAGACTATATCTACATATAAAAAATTGGAAGTTATGGGGAATAAATTTTTTGCATAGAAATTCCAATAACAAGTGTATGAACCTTCACGTATGAACCTTGTATGGATGAAACCGAGCAACTAATGTACTAGAAAATTTTTGAGGGGATGGGGCAGTAAATTACTCCTATATTATACTTTTACCCATACCAACACTTCTACAAGAAACAAAAAATTTTCGAATGTTTCATAAAATTGTCCTTCAGGATTGGTTAAATTAAGGTATATGGTATAAACTGATTATGAACTTGAAAAATATTTTCTTCATTGGTTTATGTTGGTTAAGGAATTTGTTGGTTTGTGATATGTTTTATTATGGCATCACTCACTATTTGATATAAGTTTCTTAATTGTTTAAATAGTTATTATTTTAGCATCCTCATTATAGTTTTAGTTCAGTTTTTTTAATCATTTTGCATTATGGTAAAACAACACTTTTATAACAAAAAATCAGGTTGCTATTCATTTTTACACTTTTCCAACTTTTGTCATTTTACTTCATGTGAATACACTATGGCAGCGGTTCCCAAACTTTTTGTTCTTGCTGCGCTAAATTATCAGGGAAAAAATCTCACGGCGCAATGCTGCTTTTAAATAAAACCCAGTATTGTGATCTTTATTGTATACTTTATGCATTTTAAAGTTTGTATACATGTAGGTCTAAGAAGGAAGGACAAAAAAACTCTTCCTTTCTTATCTCTGTCCGATTTTCCTTTGGAACGCTTTGTTCGATTAAATCGGTTCAGCAGATAAATAAACGGCAGCTTGCGAAATTCCAACAAGTAGTTACGTAACAATTGAGGAGGACACTACGTAACACAAAGTAAACGACATAGAAAGATAAAATGAATTTATTGATTCATTATGCACAGCATTTAAAATAAGAAACAATAAAACATTTTTAATGAATACAATGTGCAAAATATTCAATCATATTTTAGTTATGATAATTCTGGTAATTTCCGTGGCGCACTTGGCAACTTGTCACGGCGCATCTTTTGGGAACCGCTTCACTATGGTATTAGTATTACCACACTATGGTATTACCAGTACCAAAATGTTGATTTTGCCACTGCTGTAGTCAGCCTTTTTAGATTTTTTCTCCTAAAATATACTTTACTGTTAGTTTAAATATAGCATGCAATTAGATATAAAATCCATAAATACTATCGAAACCATGTGAAAAATGAATCATTTTTGGCATGGAGTAAATAATTTTGAATACTGTTAGTGTTACCATTTGTCATCCTTGAACCCATTTCAATTGCTATTATTGGCTCAAGCATATGTATTTAAACATCTTGTAGCAGTGGTAAAGCAAGTCCAAGCCGGATGTCTGTTGAGAGTTCAACGTCCTTAGAAGTACCTGGATGGGCTGGAGAAGTTTTAGAAAAAGTGGCTTTGAAGCTCAGCCCTGCCACAGCAGATAAATCACCATCTGGGAGTACCAGCTCCACAGGCAGTGGTCTTAAACGAAGCTCGTCTGATCGGTCTAAGACGAAAGACTCCTCTGGTCTTCTCGACACTCCGACAACGTCTAGCGGTGGGGAATCAAAAGGGGGACTTTTTCGAAGAAAAGATAAAGATAAAAATAAACTACAGAAGAAGTTAAACAGAAAGTCGCATTATGAAGAAAGAAAGTCAATGAGCCCAAGTGAATCTGGAACCAAATCGAAAAAAGGTTTTGGTATTCTTCGTAGGTCGGAAAGCGGAAGACCAATGAGCGTGGCAGCCGGACAACTGTATGTAACGGGGCAACTCGATATCCAACCAGAAGTAGAAGAACAAAAAAGAAAAAACTCAAACGGTCAAAAATCTGCGAAAACAAATAAATAATGTATAATGGATAATCTTTAAATAGTGATTAGCTAGTACATAGCTATATGTTGAAAATATTTTATATATAAATATGTGTTAGTAGGTTGGGTATTAAATGGACACCTCGAAATTGTGCCAATTTTATGACACATGGGGACATTGTATTGGTAGCATTAATGATAGTTCCTGTGATATATGTCAAAAATATCCTAATTTTCAAATGATTGCCACTGCATATTCCATGTACTTTTTTATATTATCGTGTGATTTATTTAGATTTGTTTCTCATTGTTTTGAGTGCTTTAATTAAGTTTAACACGTGTTTACTATCAAGATTCTGCATTGTTTTTTGTATTACCATTGTGTGAATAGTCATCAACGTTTTTTAGAATATACTTTGTAGTACATCATGATTCATCATTCAGATACATTCAGCAATTATAAATGATTTGCATGCGAGAGAAATTTTAATACTAGAGACTTAGATATTTGAATGTGATTACCAGAATTCCAATATATATTTCTATTCAATATTAAATATGCCAATCAAATTGGTCAAAATTTCAGCATATGCTGATATATGCTTTATATATATTATTCAATCAGAAATGCCAATTTTTTTTTATTCAATTCACAATTCACAGTAAATTTTGTTACAGTAAATTTTGTTACAGTAAATTTTGAATTCACAGTAAATTTTGAATTCACAGTAAATTTTGTTCTATTTATAGGGACATTTCGAAAACATTTATGATGACTGAATTGAAAATTAATTCACAAATTTTTACAAGGTTTTCATTGGTAAACCTGCCTTAGCATCCATATTGGAATTTTTTGTCTTATGACAAGCATTCTTACTTTTCAAAGCAGTTTGTACTTACAACTCTTACAATCATTTTATTGAAAATTCACTGCCTATCCATTATGCCATGCTGATATATTGTTATAAAATATAATGTTTCAGATTTCAAACCCAAATTTCAAAGTCAATTGTGATTTACAGTCTAAATTGTATTTACAACTGTTGACTTTGCGCCATGTTTTACTCATCCTGCCGCTATGGTACTTAACGCAAAATTATACGACTTTTTATAACTTGATGTAATATCGCTTTTCGCTGTACTATGTGATCTGTCACAATGGAAAAATATGATCACATGACAATATTATCTTTTACTTCGATTCATCGTTGCGATTTTATCGTTAACCGGTCATTTTTTGCTTTCAAGTTAAATATATACACGGTTTTTTGTGTTTTTCTTTTCTCTTATTTTTGTTCCATTATCAATATTTTTCATTAGTTAACGGTGTCAGTCAACGTACCGTCATCACGAAAAGAAACATACTGTCTAGGAAGGCATGTATTCCACAAATATTTCATTTGTATCCTGAATTTCATATCAACTCTCAAACATCAAATGGAACCTCTCATGTGAAGACATCTTCAGACTAGAACAATGATGTACTTGTAAGCTATACTAGGAGGTTTTTGTGTGATGTTGTATCTAAAGATTCAAGTTCTGGAAGTGGAAAGATTGTCTCTTGGTTAAAATTTACATGAAATGCTTGCCCATGTTTAACATAAAAAGTTGTTTTTCTGGCAACTGTAATTTCAAGTATAAGATTTCATAGTGTCTCATCTTGCAAACCATGTTTGAATATTGATCTCTTTTCAGAGGTGCAAAATTTTCAGTTTTACATGTCCAATTACTGATTGCATGCAAAAAAGGATGTCGTTTATTGCGTTACAATGAGTAATTAAAGCCTTTATTAAATATTTGAATCAATTAGTATATCCCTTTCATAACAATACCATGATTTATGAAACTCATCAATATCAATTTATTGGTTATCTACTTCAAAACTTGAACCATCATCATATGCCTCACTTTCAATTTTTTGGAGATTTTTAATGTTATGGAGAAAACTCAATATTTTCCAATAGGAGGGAGGAGTTTTTATATTACCAGTGATTATTTCATAAATCGATGAGTTGATCATTTTGGTGTTTCCCGGAGATTGTTACTTGTTGCCAAATACTCTTATTACTATTTAACCGGTTTTATAAAAATCCCAGTTATGGTGTTTGTCAACCATAAAACAAACCTGACTTGTATGTTGATGACTCATTTTAAGTATGGCCCATGTTAGGCCCTGTGTTATCAACAAGTAGTTTTGTTTTAATTAGAGGTAATATTAAGTGGCATCATTTCTTTTTTGTTTGTTTTCTGATCTGTATAAATTGATTATCAGCAACAAATCATAACTCCCCTACATGTATGTGCGATCAGCAATCATCATATTAATATCCAGGTACGTATCCAGAAGTTTCAAATAGAAAAGGACTTGTGTATGTGATATTATTGTCTCATGCTTTTTATTTTGGCTATGTACCTTTAACCAAGTATTATTGCTATAATGGGAGCGATGTTTCTAGATTCGACCTATGATATTAAAATATTAAAAATACAAGTTCTGTCTTCTAATAATATTACTCTGGATACGTCTCTGGTTCTATTGTATTATTGATTAAGTCAGCTGCTAGAAGATTGAAAATTTTTGATAATCGAAAAATTGTTTTATTTGATTCCGTATGTGTCTTGATTATGAATGTGCTCTTAATGACCCGAGATTTTATTCGTTGGGCATTAGGACTTCATTCAATTCGTCAGCATTGTGATTATTATTACTACATTACCACGGTTTTCTAGTAACTTTTTATCCTTTTTTAATGATATCTATGTTGTGTCTGCATCAGTGGAGAAAGATGATCTAGAACAATTTGATTTTTTTACTTGAGAAAAATTTCCTTGCATGATTTTTATACGGACAAAAGAACGTAATGGCCACAATGCAGTCTGAAATAATTTTCTCCTTATGGTGTTCACTATTGAGCAAATTGTATGCTTCGCTGAGGTATTTGTCCATGTCTAGACTTAATGTTCCAATTAGGAGGCACCAGCAATAATAAATGAAGTTGGAATATCCAGATATAGCTATATTTGAAAGAAAAACTTTTGTGATTTGATTGTAAATTTTGAATTCTCTTTGGTAAGATCGTATATATTGTTTTGAATTTTTATGTGCCTTAAATATATTTAAATCAAATTTTTTCAGAAGTGTGAAAATAATTAAAAGAAAAAAGATTCTAAAACAAATTGAGCTTTTCTTGCATTGACAACCAAATTAACCGTTTCTCATATCCTATTATTTAAGTTTTATTGAGTGATTTCATGTTATAAAATGAATGTTATAAAGTTTTGAAATGATCTTGGAGCAATTTTATTGTTCAAATTCTGGTCATTTTTTTGTAGCACAAACATGGCAATCAGAATACTATATATCTTAGTTCTGAGCAATATAATATTTCCATGGGGCTTTTAAAATATCATTGAAGATCCTACTGAAACATTTATAAAGATCAAACCTTTTGTTATGGCTGTATGATATTGAACTTCATACTTATCGGGTGATACATAATCTTGAACATTATCTTGTCAGGTAGAATGTATTTAAATATGTAAACACATGCCGATTGGTAAAATGTGGTCTCTGACCCTAACGAGAATAGATGACCATCCTTTTTGTTCGTTAATTAAATTTGTTCATATCACAATGAGTACAAAAGCTATTGGATGAAAAATACCAAACTACTGGCAATGCTTCATTTGATATATTTAGTACAAGGTTAAAAAATACATTAATATGGCCTAAACTGAGGAATAGAAGTTTGAGTATTTTTGTGAAATACCATGCTTCTGTATCTCTGTTTAAGCAGGTAAAATGATATTGAAAACAACTCTAAAAATGGTAACACTATACACTATTTAAACCTTATAAGATGAACCTTTAGATAGATTCTGACTCTTATTAAAGCAAAAACTGGCTATAATGAAAGGCTTCGCCAAATATATTTGCATAATTAAATTGTTCAGTAATGAATACATTATGGAATGCACCGAGCGATGTGATCTTTTTATACCTTCTATCTCAAATTTTGGCTCATTTTTTCCTCATAGTAGCCTGAAACAAAATGTGTAACATTGACTCATTTTATAAAGTCCACTTTACATATTCTTCGTTAGAGCACAATTTGTTTTAAAAAAACTGCCATATGCATTCGAGTAATATTGCGAATGTAAAGAAGGCCATAAGTCACCGAAAATATCCTGGAAGTCTTTAAAAAAGCGTGAAGTTAAAACAAGATATTTCTGATTCATTGGCCGACTTGTTTTGTTGTTATTGTTATGATTACTACTTTTTTCTTTTATTACTATTCTACTTCCTATTATTATTGTAATAAAGTATAATGATATTGATGATGACGCTCGGAATATTTGAAACAGCGAATCGGCATGCTATTCCGCATAAATATAACATTATGCTGTCCGTGAAATGACAGATGGTGAATTTTGTCTGATTGTTTATTAGTCTGTTCAGGATCCTTCTCTTTTCGGAATATAGATGTAGATTGAAGACCATAGTCGAGTGAACAAAAACAATTAGTTTTTCTCATCTTAAATCAATCTTCAATGTGAAATATTTATGTTCCTGTAAATTACTCGTTGTTTAGGTTAGGCTTTTCATTACTGTCTCGGAGAGGAATGCCGGAATGACACTTTAATCGTATGACGAACCACTGTCCAGTCCATGTCAAATTAGTTCTCTATTGCAGATGCGTTGAAATGATATTTGGTGAACACAACCGCATTCCCCCTGGTTGGCTCGGCGGTGTGGCGCATCGTGCTAAGCGTTAGGAATACGCTCGCCACCGCATATCTGATTACCCTTCGTGGGTTCGCTGGTTCGAATCCCATGCGGGGATGATCATGTGCGAGAGGATTGCTGGACTCCTCGCCGCCGTAGGGTGGTTCACGTAACCGCTGGTCGGTTACGGCTTCCTCCACCATCAAGTCCGGGCTTCCGGAAAACAAATAACTGACTAACTAATCCCATACCCGACCTGGACCGGTAACCGGACGAGAGGCCGTGGTTCGCCATATGATTAAGCCGTCTTATCGGCTCTCCTCTCCCCCGGGATAAATATGTGAATCCTTCCTTGGTATCGTATTACCCTGGTCTTTGATTATTCAAGATTCTGGAATGGGTTTGAAATATATATATCAAAGAAGAACTTTGCTGTTGCGTTAAAAAGCTCTGTTGTGTTATATGGTTTGTTTATATTTTGTAGGGGGAAATCCCGACCATAGGGATAAAATTCAATTCTGTACGAGCATATATATCTGAACAAGTATCTGAGAGGTTATATAAGTATAGAAAGAAATTTTTCTTATTGATTTGAAGCATGTTCCTCGCTGGATTTGATGACATTTTATGGGCGTGTATAAGTATATATGAAACTTACAGATCCGGAAATTCATTCTCCCAAGAAGCTACCCGTGAGATTCGAACTTCATTTCTGCCATTGACCCGATATATCATTTTAATCGGCGGCGTACGTTATGAGACCCAGGATGTGTGTACTGTTGTTGTGAAAATCGCTTTTCACAACCGATTAACCCAATCTATTTCAGTGCAGCACTGTCCTCCCGGTATTTCAGTAAATGGTTTGCTACATCTCAAGTAGTATATATATATCGCATGAGCCTTCCCGTCCCAGATATGATAGCCATTTAATTTGCCTGCTATTCGCACATGATAAAATATTTCATATTAAATGTAACGACTATTATCAAAAATTGGGTGCAATTTTGGATGTACGTCGTTCTACAAATTGCGCGTGGCTATTTGTATGGGTATCATGTAACCATCATATCATGTATAAAGCTGACTAGGGCCTGTGACGACCTTGGAATACGATATCGATATTGTCTACAATTCTACCTAGACTAGCCAGGAAATTGCATTTGTTACGGCCTATGTTAGCGTCGTGTATAATCGAGAAAAAAAATTTACTGTAGATTTTTCACTCTTATGTTTTGCAAATGGTTCGTATCCACCGTTTTGCTTGGTTAACTTTGCATGCTCATTTTAGGGGCTTTGTAGCAAGGCGAATTATATTGAATATTCAGCTCAAACTTGGGTGAGAATAAAATCTTGTTGATTTGTGCTTCGAGAAATCATAATTTGGTGTATAAGAATATATGAAACTTACAGATCCGGAACTTCATTTCTGCCATTGACCCGATATATCATTTTAATCGGCGGCGTACGTTATGAGACCCAGGATATGTGTACTGTTGTTGTGAAAATCGCTTTTCACAACCGATTAACCCAATCTATTTCAGTGCAGCACTGTCCTCCCGGTATTTCAGTAAATGCATATATATATCGCATGAGCCTTCCTGTCCCAGATATGATAGCCATTTAATTTGCCTGCTATTCGCACATGATAAAATATTTCATACCAAATGTAACGACTATTATCAAAAATTGGGTGCAATTTTGGATGTACGTCGTTCTACAAATTGCGCGTGGCTATTTGTATGGGTATCATGTAACCATCATATCATGTACAAAGCTGACTAGGGCCTGTGACGACCTTGCAAATCTTGGAATACGATATCGATATTGTCTACAATTCTACCTAGACTAGCCAGGAAATTTCATTTGTTACGGCCCATGTTAGCGTCGTGTATAATCGAGAAAAAAATTTACTGTACATTTTTCACTCTTATGTTTTGCAAATGGTTCGTATCCACCGTTTTGCTTGGTTAACTTTGCATGCTAATTTTAGGGGCTTCGTAGCAAGGCGAATTTTATTGAATATTCAGCTCAAACTTGGGTGAGAATAAAATCTTAGTCGTCCTTAATAAGTCGTCCAGAAATATAGAAATTAGTCATAACGATTTCAAAAACAGCACAGCTTTCTGCTAATTTAGGCCGTAACGCCTCTTACTGGATAGGACTAAATCATTCGATGTTTCTACCGTTTTTCGAAATAATATGGATAAGTGGATATCATCTTTATCGGACGAGAATAAAGCAATTTGGGGTGAATTCGCTGGGGAAATAATGCAAGTATGGCAAAACCCAAATTATGATTTCTCGAAGCACAAATCAACTGAATATAAAGGATACTTGTTACCCCCATTCTTTGAAGCCGAAACGATCAAGAGAGCGTACGAAGAAATGAAAGTCGAAGAAGGTTCAGTTTTTGTCATGTCTTTCCCAAGAACAGGTGAGGCATGTATGTATTAATATATATCGTGATATATATATATATGTTAATTAACTAGGGTTTATTAACTATTAGCCTACTATGGGGTTAAAGTGTTTCCAAATATGCAGTTTAGTTTTATTTATATCTTGCTTGGATACGTAGCCTATATACCAAAATTCACATTCATCTGGTCTTATGACGTACAGCTTTAAAAAAATATTTGACTCCATTTTTAGGGTCGCATTGGACGATCGAAATATTAAATCAGATGTTATACGGTGATGAGAAAGAACTCTACGCTTTATCCCAAGCTCTACCTCCACCTTTGACTCACATTGAAATCGGGCTTCGTAAGTATAGGACAAAACTTGATATTGTTATTCGCTTAAAAACCAAGATTTGTATATTACCACTTTGTTTTTATTTTTCCTATTTATTTTTAGATAAAAAATTGGAACTATACGAACACTTGCCATTTCCGAGAAAATTGTTTGGCTCCCACTTGCCAGTTGAACTTGTAAACTTGGAAAAGATCAGAAAAGCAAATGCGAAGGTTAGGCTCAATTTATGCCGCACGTCATATGTTGCTTACGACATTTCCTGTCGTGGACTATAAACTTCTCGTTATGGATACACTAGAAGTTGGAAAATAATCGTTACGATTTTTGTTACCATAACTCATTTCGAATATCTGACCAATATCTTTGTATACTTTTTGGTATTTCGTTGGGTATGGAGTTATTTTTATGCTTGTTAATAAAGTAATTTTGTAACTAGCCCAGTCTTTCTCAATTTCCAGATTGTAGTCGTCGAGAGAAACCCGAAAGATCAGGCCGTATCATGGTTCCATTTTGCCCACGCTAATCCGTCGTTTAAATCAATTAAAGACGATTTAAGCACCGACTGGACGCAGTTCCTCAACGACTACGTTGCCGGTAAAACACAGATTTAATTTGTAATAAATTCATCGAAATGCTTTCATATTAAAGGGATTTTGTAATCGTGTATATATATTCAGCCGCGTATCAACTCAGATTCGACTTACTTATTCAACTAAAAAACAAATGCCTCGTTATTCTTCATTATTTTAATATTTAGGCAAGCATCCGCTTATTACGAAACCAGGTGAATGGTACCCTGAACACTTACTGGGATGGTATAAACATAAAGATGAGGAAAATGTTTATTTTCTACATTTCGAAAAAATGAAAAAGGTAAAAGCTTCTTAAGATTATTCTATATCGTCAAATGAATAATAGTTATGCTAAATTTATTTTCATTCAATTCTCTTACAGAGTCCCGCAAATGAGATGGAAAATTTGGCCGCTTTTCTAGGTATCGAGATAACAAACGATCGAATTGATGAGATATCACAAGCAACATTGTTTGAAAATATGAAAATTGCGAAAGAAGGAAAAGGCGATTTTGAGAAAAAAATGGGAATAATGCGAAAAGGTCCAAAAATATTATATAGTAGGTCGGGGTAGTTCGGACACCCGGGGATGATGGGCAGTCAAAATAAAATCCTCCTACTAGCGACACCTCGCGCTTTTTCGTCGCTCAAAACGCATCGCGTGAAAGAGCGACATCATGCGAACAACGACAGGATCAAGATTTTACATTTCAGGCTCGACAACTTACAAGGCGGTGCTTTTGGGGGAAAGGGTGTTTCTGTTGGGACAGAAAAACGTCAAATTATAGAGTCCCATGGTGGCGAAGGATAATTTTAGCCGGAAAAGTCTGCGAACTCGGTTCTATTTTGTTTATTTGTTGCAAGTAGTTGCATTAGATCGAATAAATTCTTAAGCAAACTGCCAGTACTCATTTTTGGGTTGGCAGGGTCACTTAAGAGGTAGGGTGGATTTTGAGTGGGGGAGGGGGGAGGATTTTTTTCAATATAGTCTGTTGGAAATGTCAATGGGCCGTCGTCATCGAAACTTATAAATAAATATTTTTTGGTACTAAGTACCCTTTCACAACAAAGATCAAAAGCACACTCATCGCCATATTTATACTGGGTCTCTTAGAAGTTAGGCCCGGCGTAAAATTTCATCTTACCCCGTCCAATTTTTTTTTTCATATGCGGATAAAATACGCCCAAGGTTATGCCAAGAAATTACAAAATAAATACTTCTAGAGGTAGTCCGTGTAAAGAAGATATAAAAATTGCAGTTGAAAAAGCGCAAACTAAATTTTAAATTTCTAGTTTTCCTAAAACTGTTCAAACTCTTTTGAAAAATTGCCCTGTTATGTCCTTTATGGGGTAAGACGGACATACTTTTTAATATGCAAGAAAAGTGATCTGTTTAAAAAAAATTTAAGAGTCATAATTCTGGGCCATCTAGCCGTTGACCGAAGTCTTATGACCGAAATCTTAGACACCATCAAGTTAATTTTGGTGTGTGTCCGTCTTTCCCACAAAGTGCCTAACTTACCCCGATATTTTTTTAGCTGAAAATCGGGCGTAAATTCCGATTCGTTGCTATGGCAACAATGTGCAAATGTGGCAAGATAGCTGGAGGGTGGGTGCATAAATCAAACGTAGAACGAATGCAGCTGCGACATTATTTGAAGAGTTATTCAAAATAACTTATTAGTGGGTCCGACTTCCCCCGACCTACTATACAAAATAACATATGAAGTGAAGCATGACACTAATTTTGCAATGTGTATCAATCTTTCCTCCAGGTCATGTTGGTTCCTGGAAAGAAAATTTTACCAAAGATCAGTCGACGATGATGGACAAACTCATACAAGATAAATTGGGCCACATGGATATCAAGTTTACATATGAATAATAAAGATAATTAAAATGAAGCAGAAGTCACTATTATCATTTTTAATTTTGTGTTGTCAAAATATTTACAATAGTTATAACACAAATATAATATATTGCCTTGCCTCGTGGCAACCGAAACCGGCCACAATAGTAGGTGCCAGATTGATTTCATTGCGATTTCGTTTGCATACTTTTCCCTTTAAAAAAATTCCCCGGCTCCGCAGTTTCATTCTTTCTCTCGTGTGCATGAATTGTTTGATCATAATTGGATTTGGCATCGATAAAATATAACGAATACATAATGGACTTGAGTTCATCGAATTTGTTGGCATGGTAAAGGGGGAATTGGGAATGAGTTCCAAAAGCCTACAAAAGAAAGACCAGTGGAACGCTTGGTTGAGATAAAACGGGTCCTTTTCTCTCTACTGAATCACTCGCTTTCAAATAAGAGTAACCGGTTGATTGATACTAAAATTCTAGTGTAACAGGAAAATAGGCCACACATTATCAGAGTTTCCGATGGCTTTACATTCTACTATTCTCGAAAACGCTGTTCTTTTTTGTTAGGACATAGAATTGCTGGATAGTATATCCAACCACAAAAACTAGACCCCTAAATAGGGCTGAGTATTTTAATTAAGTCGGCAGGTAGAAAAAATTAAAGCAATCAGATCGTCACAGATTCAATAATATAATAAATCAAAATTTGTATTACGTATTAATCGAACACATAATAATTATTTGATTCAAATACCGTGTTTCCTCGAAAATAAGACCTATCCTGAAAATAAGATCTAGTTTGAGTTATAAAGATGATTTTAATATAAGCCTTCCCAAATAAGACCTAGTCGCGAATTTTTTTTGACCTAGTCGATAGCAAGAAATCTCTCCTACCCATTTTAAATGATTGATAATCTATGTTTGCATAAATAGAAAAACGTGTTATTTATAGGTAAATGGATATCGGTTTTCATATTTTGTATATTTTAAAATCTCGTAATTCTCTACTTTTGTAATTTTGTATTTGATAAATGAAAATATAAGACATCACCCAAATATAAGTTATTTTTCGAAACAAAAATTGAAATAATACCCAGTCCTATTTTCGGGGAAACACGGTAATTATGTAAGATTTTTTTTAACAATAAGTTTTATTTTGGCAAAAGTTTTCTAACCCCGAACACATTGTCAAATTAGCTGTTCGCGCATACGGTTTTCGCGTGAAAATACTGGCCCATCGTCAAGGATCCAAATCTTTCTCTGTAATGTGTCATCAGTTAACTATGGTGTCAACGTTGAATGGGATATTGGAATACCGCGATTAATGAATTGGGCCTGTCGAAAATTATTAGAGACATACCGGTAACACTGTAACATTCGCTGCATGTCATGACTCGTGGTGTCCAAAGTGAATATATACCGTAGTCACTTAGGTGGTGTCCGGCGAACTTGAAACAAACCAAGTCCTGAGTGTTAGGGTTGTCGTTCACCTGTTCACAGGAGACAGGGAGACGTACGGCACCGTACCGTACAGCCGTATGCTGACATTCACGGGTTGTACGGTACCGGCAGACCGGGTACCGTAAATTCAGAAATTAATTCTGTAATCTAAAGGCCGAAAGGTTTAAAAATCTGAAAATACTAAATTCTGTTTATTTTAAGGCCTCCTTACATGAACTTGATATCATCTTTTTATTCATAATCAGCTATTTCCAATAGTAATATTTTTAATAATACGCCATAAAAGTAATAAACATTTTTAATATTCATTTTTTCATATGCTTTTAAAAGTTTTATTCTATATTTGTTTAATTTGAATTTAATTCATAAATTTGAAACCCTTATACTGTTATATCTGTATATCAAGTTTTGAGTCCCACCGCCATGAAATCTGCATTTGGGATAATATTTCATGGTATACAGATATAGGCCCAGCTCCTAGGGGGAAAAAAATGAAACTTCAATCCCAGATCCTGACCTAGAATCGCAGCCACAAATTTTTTTAGTTTGTATAAAGTTTTGACATGCTTTTTTTATGATCAGTTTCTCACATCCTTACAGTCCTTAATTGATTCAAAAGACATTGCCCAATTTTATATTGTGTCTTTATTTTATTCTGTTCTTTTGATTGTTTTTGGTAGACTGGCACGTACTTGTCCGTTTTTAACTTTTTTATTAAGTTATGCCCGTTCTCCACATTCAGACATTTCCTGCATTTTGTTTGTTCGTTCGTTGTTGTTTTGTTTCTTTCAGAGTGACCAAAATAAAATTGATTGATTGATAAATATGAAACGATTTCATAATATTCTTGTGTTTATACAAATATTCAGAATATTTCTATCTTCTTTGGTGTTATTGTAAGCTGGTGAATTGATATTGTGGATCATAGTATTTTATTCTGCTTATCCAAATCAACAATCCCATGGCAACAAGGGCAGAGCGTGAAAAGGTTCAGCGTACAAATGACAAGCACAAAAACATATTAGCTGTTTTATTATCAAGAGAGGAAAATAAGTATTGTGCAGATTGCCTTGCTAAAGGTATGGATTTTTATGTTGTTGTTAGAATTCTTTTTCTCATTTTTGTTGTTTAGCTTTTCTCAGTAACTATTGAACCAATAGCTTTGAAATTGTCAGTGGTTAAAGATTGTATTTTTCGCTAGAGGTCTATGATATTTTTTATTTCAAAAATTTCTGTTTTGTATGCGATGATGTCATCGAAATTAGAAATTGCACACCTTGGTTAGTTTAATCCATCCGTATTATTGTCATCCATGTTGACTCAAGGACGCAAATTTTCAAGATTATTTTGTGACAATTTAATTTCAAAGCTGTCATTATGTACAACAAACTTTACCTTGAATAAGTAAATCAAAAGTTGCCTTTCACACAATTTTTGATAAAATTAAAAACTGGCCAATATGTCAGCCAGTGCAATGTTTTCCTATAAACCCAGCCTGATTTGATATCCGTTTACGAGTTCTGTATTTTAAAGTTGATAATTTTTCTGAAACAGGATTTTTTATAGCAAATTATTCAGATTGGCCATTTCGGTGCGGAATATTGTCCATTTACAAATCATTTCTTATTATTTTGAATTAAAATAATATTTTTGTTATATTATGCTTTTGTAATGTATGTGAAATGTCATGTATTTGAGTTTCCAATTGGGTTTTCTACCTTCAGGTCCGAGATGGGCTTCATGGAATTTGGGAGTTTTGCTTTGTATAAGATGTTCAGGATTACACAGATCTCTGGGTGTTCACATATCTAAAGTAAAGTCCGTGAATTTGGACACATGGACAAGAGAACAAATGCTGGTAAGATAATAAGTTGTTTGTGTCATTATTTAGAATATGTGATTGTTTTTGGACTACAGTAATACCTTGGTAGCTGAACATAATTAGTTTTGGTGTTCGAGTAAAAATAATAAAAGATGAAAATATGAAAAAATTTTGTATCAGTTATAGGCTTGTACGTAATTTACGGAATTACGTAATTATTTCAAGTTACGGAAGGGAAGTTACGATTTACGTAAAGTCGGTATTATTGGTCGAGGCTTTCGTGATGAAACGAGCTCTTTTCAAAGCAGTCAATTCCATTGATTGTAAAAAATGAAAATAAAATAAGTAGAAGGAGTTAGAGTTTCGGTATTCGCAGCCGTTTTTCTCTCTCTTACCAATACGACGCCGTGATAATTAATGTCGCGCTTATCAAACAGCAATATGACGACGGAAAAGGAATTGCGTAATGAACCATCGCAACTTCGTCATCGGTAAATCGATTGAGACGGCAGAGAAACAACAAAACGACGAGATTTCCCACGGACCGGCGGTTGGGAACCATCATTCTAGAACAGTGGTTCCCAAACTTTTTGTACCATCGCCCCCCTACAGTAGTTTATGCAACTTCATCGCCCCCCGGCACTGCAAAAAAAATTGGAAGTCTGAAACGAATATATTACATACCAAATAAGGATACAAATCATAGTTTATACATAGTGTTTTTTAATGAGATGGATGAGCTTGGTGTTCTATCATATCTAAAATTACCCCGTTTACTGATGGAAAGGCGATTTGGTTGTTTTGATAGCAATAGTGTCACTGCTGAAAACCCGTTTTTCACCATATCAGAGGTCGGAAATGAAAGAATCCAGGGTTCTAACTCCTCAAAAACCGCAGTGTACTATTGCCTTATAGCATTTAACTCTCATTCACACCCCGTTTTACATTGAAATAATGAAAACAAGATGATTTTTTTAAATTTTATACTAATGATTTAGGTACATCTCATTCATCTCTACAGCCTTATGACCTTCATCAAAATACATGATACATAACGGTCTTCGGTGAAATTCATCCCCCATTCCTCATCCTACCACTTCCTCCAGTCCGATCACCAGTCCATAGAATTAATCAGCCATTTGTTTTGAATTCGTGGACTCGGATGGCTCAGGGGTCGGCAAATTTTACGTCGCTCGCGGGACAAAATTTAGGGTTGCTAGTCTTTTGAGGATCACATATATTTTTTGAAAGTTAAAAACGGAACTTCGTGCAAAAACTGCGACAATTCGTGAACTCAACTCAGTCGTCTTATTAAAAAATTATTACAATGACATTTGATGTGTCACTGTCTTGTTGCTGCATCACGCTTGATAGCTTTACGACGCCAAGATCGGAAGATTTTCTAATGGGCATCACTAATCCTAGTTCTTTGTAATGTTCATTTTCAAAAATATTTGTTCGCACAAATATGTACTTCGAAACACTGAAGTGAATATTTTCGCATGGCTTGTGAAAATTTGATAAAGATTTTCTTTGAGAAGATACATTCTTACAAAAATGAAGCTGTGATGAATCTCTCGAATAGAATATGATTTCCTTATTGCATTGCAATATATTCGAATATTTACTGCGCTATTGAACCCCTGCACTCAACTGCGTGTTTGCATTTGTCTAATTATAATTGAATTGTAGGCTCGTTAAACGAGTAGTTGTTCAATATAATTTTTAGGATATAATTAAATTTAGTCTAAACGTGTCTCACGATAAATTCTGTTACGTAAAAAAAATGTAATTTACTCCTCGAGCGTAGATAAGAAATAAAGTTAATTCATCGTTAAAACCGCCGTTTGGGTGTTTCTCCTGGCAAAGACTTTCTTGTTTACTTTGTGACATTGGCCAATCAGGAAGATGCAAATATTAACGTAATAATGCCCCCTTTCGCATCCGCTCAGAAGCATTCCTCACTCAGACAGACTTTCAGGCGTGGTCGTGAACATTACCTCATTTTCGCAATTTTGAATTATATTCGTTAGTTTTTAGTTGTTTTTCGAAAATTTAAATGAAATAAGTCAATGATCACCTTGTCCTCCTAAGAGTTTCAGTTTAATTACAGTGATCACAAATTAGTGTAGAAATAGCTGTGATAGACTACACTAGACACATTGAAACAGATTTTTGGATGGTATCAATTAGAATGATAGTTTGAAACAAATACTTCATTTTATATGCAACAACTCGCGAAACCACTCTCAAAATGAACACCGAAAATTTTAGAATGGTAGAGTATGGGAAAATTTTTCCGGGGTCAAAGGTCGGGAAAAGATTCATTCAGTGAAGCGTCCCGGGCCAGATTACTACAAATTTCCCGACCAATGGGATACGAAAACTACCGTACCTTACTGCGAAGACGAGTCCAGCAATCCTTTCGCGTGTGATAATCGCCCACGTGATTCAAACCTACGAAAGCACGCAGAGTACAGTAATCAAGCGCACGATGCGCCGACCAAAAACAGGTTTCGCGAAATCGCCCCCCTATCGCCCCCTTCGGCTTTTTCGCCCCCCTTTGTATCGTTTTCGCCCACCGGGGGGCGATATCGCCCACTTTGGGAATCACTGTTCTAGAATACCTAAATTGAATCTAGAATCCTATTCTATTTTTATAGTTACACGTATTTCAATAGTGGAAATTCCCCACCACAATGCATGATTAAAATTAAAAAAAAGCTAAATTGTAGCCTAAATGTATAGCTATCTTTGTACAGTATTTTATTGGAAATTATATTTGACCAATGGAACGAGATTCAAGAATTTCAGGATCATCTTTTTGTCTTCAACAGTTCAATATTCTCAATTTAACTACTATCAAATATAATCAAGTATGAGCCAGTGTGTTTAATCTGTGCGTGATCCATTTTCTATTACGAAATCTTTCTGTTACACTGGTTATATCGTTATATGTCCGGACCTGGCCTTGCTCAATTTATGTTTTTCACAATGCCTCGCAAAATTTCGGCCAAATATGATTTCGGCCAACTGTCTTTACCAAACGCGGCAACCTTTTTTTGATTTTATCGTCGACTCGAATACCACAGGCACTCGACCAAACTTGTGTGAATCTTGGCCGATAGGATCGTCGACATTAGTTAGAAAAATAAGTTAATTTTTTCGTGAGTGCAAAATAAATGACACAAAATGCATTGTTTTGCGATATAACTTTTTATTTTCGGAGAGGAATGTCATATAAGTACGGCATTTAAATTATGCGCAAATAATGGTATAACATTTAGGCCGCGAAATGATTTAATGTCAAATGAAGGATGGTAATCGGAATATCGTCAATAAGTCGACATCAATGATTATTATAAAATGCTAACTAGGTAGTAAAGTCGAATAATGTAAAAAAACGGTGCAATAACAAGTCTTCGTCGCGAGGCAAGTGCAAGTATAATCAAACGCGAGAATACGCTCGTCGTTGATTAAAAAATTAGAATCCCGAAACTTTTATTTAACACAAAAGTCCATTTAAAAAAGGTCATCTATCGTTTCATAAATATCCGTATACCAGTGTCGGTAATGATAAAATTAATCGCATAAAATTGGGACGGTTAATTTGCGAAGGTGACAAAGGAAAGTCAAAGCTAACACTAAAGATAAAAATCAGATTAAAATTAATTTGAATTCACTCCCTGATAGTTGTCTTTAACATCTGTCGCCGGCGTGTAATACTGCCAGGATTATTAAAACCAAACTTCGATGTCCCATTCGTAAAAGAAGTGGATTCAATAGGTTTTTATGATAGGTTTAAATGTGTGAAAAAATATCGCAATTACGGGGTCATTACGTAATCGATTTGGCCGTAATTACGGAATTGATTTTTGTCAATTACGTGCAAGCCTAATTAGTTACTGTACGTTTGGCAAATTTCTGTGGGCTCTATGGGATTCTTTTTTGTGTGTGATGACGTCATCAAAATTGTGCACTTCATGGCGGTCCCGCTTTCGCGTTAGACGTGAAGATTGCCGCAACGGTAGTCGACTTTGACAGTTTGCATAACCGTTACTACTTCGCTTTGGCCTTTGTGTCCTTATGTTTGAACATCTCTCTCTTATTGAATGGTCAAAACAAGAGGCAGCAGAGATGCGCAGTTCAGGTGACATCATCACACTCGACAATGTGCTCAGGTGTTTGAGCACCAAGTTTCCGTTTGAGTACCGCAGCATTTTTGACTAGAATTTTTGTGGACTACCGAATTGTTCGAGTATCAAGTTGTTTGATTACTAAAGTATCACTGTGTTTACATTTTTAGAGTGGACTGAAAAGTTTCCTAGTTATGAATTGAATGTAAGGTTTTGAAGTGGCTCACAAGATATATTTTATAACTTAGTAGGCTTTTGTCTTGTTTTAAAATTGTGTATTTGTTCATTATTACACATAGATTTAGTAATACGTTATCAGTAAGCATGATATAGCTTCATAGAAAAAAACCACCTATTTTACTGTTTTAGAATTTCTGCTGCAGAGGTAATGGGTGGGCAAAAGACACATATGAAGCAAGACTTCCAAGAGACCATAAAAGGCCTCAGGCTGACTCGTATCCTTTTCAATTATCATATGTTCATAGACAGTATACTAAGATATCACCTACTCTCTTTGGAGCTTAGTTAACAGTAGATTTCACAAAGTATTGTTATTTTTGCATTATATTTTCATGACCGGTAGTTACGGTATATCATTCTAAGCTAAGCTATAAACTATTTACTATTAAATATTACTTCGTTAGTTAAGTTGATATGGTTTGGAAAATTTCGAGTATTCATGACTGAACTGAACTAGGGTATAGTCATTAGTACAGTAATTAATGATCTAAATTTACAGAAAAAAATAAATTCAATATATTAAGTATGAAGATAAAGAGTATTTTTCACACGATTTATTTCAATTTATCTTAATAAATAGTTCACCAAGCCAAGGGCTTATTGTGAAGAAAAAAAAACTTCACTTGATGTAAATGTAATGATTATTTTATAATATCCCATATCTTACAAATTAAATATAAGACGAAAAAGGCCTATTTTATTTTCCTTCTGGTGCTTCCAGTCTGTTTGTGTGTTATGGGTGCTAGCTTGTGAATGACCTCCAAAGTAATTTCCAGGAAGTTATCTAGTTGGGTCGAAATCAATTCTTAAGTACTTCCTCTGACACACCTGCCATGAAGCTTATATTTTTGTGGCAGCACAGCATTTTATTGATAAGTCTGGAGTGAAGGCATTTATATTGTCTTTTTTTAGAAAACACACACACAGATGTTTTACTATGGATTCATTGTGTTTCCTGAATGATTACACTACAGTAGTGTTAGCAATGCTATTAACTGTTTTTATTTAGAATGCTTTGGTATTACAAAGTAAGGATAGATTTTTTTTCCACTTTTGTGTGCTAATACCTTTTTATTTTTTTAATTACACACCATATGATCATTTATGTTTTTCCTTATCTTCAATTGTAATCACATTTATAGAAGCCTTGAATATTTTATTCGTGATAAATATGAAAAGAAGAAATATATAGCACCTGTCGAAATTCCATTAAGACCATTAACAGTAAGTTTTCCATGAAAGTAAATCATAAGCTATGTATGCGATTATGAGATTGTAAGTAAACCGTTTATGAAACCCAACTTGTAACTTCAACTATGCAACTCAATCCTGCAGACCACGTAAGGACCACAGGCTGATTTTATGTCTTGGGAGGCTGGTAAATTTGTGAAACAAACATATGATATTATAAAATTGCAATGTTGGTGGTATTCGAAATTGAGCAACTTTATAATACAAGTCATATATTATTTAAAAAAATGTTAATTTATTTAATAAAATGTCATTTTTTATCACCTCTAATCTTAATAAACTTATAGTATGATATAGTTCAGTATTATTAAATAAAACTAATACTTTGGCCAACATACTCCCATTTGTATAACACTCCACTTACCTCTGTCTGTATAAATATTTACCAATAATTTTCAGGGTTTAGGTTTAATAGATGAAAATGTTGACTCTCCAAAGAAAGGAAGGAGTAGAGATGGAAAACGTGATGGTGTATCGATAATATCAATTCCTAAACCGAAGTGGGTAACATAATTATTTACTTGAAGATATAAAAATGTTTATTGTGTTCAAAATTTGTCTTGGTAATGCCTAAGATGGAATATTTTACAGACGGATTTGGAAAACTTCAGTGAATAATTATACAATTTTCAGCAGATTAGTATATTTCGATTTTTTTTATTCACATCTCTAATGTACCGGTATGTAATCTTAAATGCAGGCTACTATTTTTAGGGGGTTGCATCCGACCAGTCCAGGTATTCCAAGGCCCAAATCCTTGCCACAATTGCCAAAACATGATGCGAATAGTCCAGTGCAAAATAGAGCACAGAATCATGCTCCTGCTCCCACAACAGATGATTTGTTGGGATTAAGTAAGTCCTGAATTTTTGTCCTATGTTTATTGTTTTCATGATCTTGTTTTCTGCATTTTGTCAGCAGTTCAAATGAGTGAATGAAAATGAGTCATCTCTTACACTGGGAGGCATTCAGGCCATGATTTTAATTATTGGATGTGTGTTGTTATATGCTTAAGCATAATATGCCTGGAATTTTGAATATTCAGTTCCGAATGACATGACTCATTTAGAAGTGTGTTGTAACTTTTTTTAAATAGGGGAACCGTGTATTGGTCAATTTGTATTAACACCCACAATAGTCTATTAGTCTCACAGTTGCAGATTTAAGCTAGTGATCTAGCAATGATTCAACACATTTTAATTGAAGATCTTGTATACGATAATAGAAGCATTTTGGTTGATTTTACAGATTCTCCGATTTCAAAAGATGCACCGGTGTCAGTGGTGGTGAATAATGATGCTGCTCCTCCAGCAGCAAGTGCCGATCTTACAGAAGATTTATTTGGCCCTATGTCTTCCTTCCAATCATTGTCGGTAATATATTCTCATTTGTCTGCTACACGAAATACTGATGAGCTAAAATACAATGTTTGAACAGAACCTAAGTCTGTTTCTTTCTCTAATGTAAACCTACATGAAAGTTATGCTAAACCAAACAATTTGCGGATTCCTATATCTTAAATTGTACAAAGTGAGGCTTTGACTTCATGTTAAACTTTTGGGGTCTAGGAACATTTTCATGTATCCAACCCCATATCATTGCTTCACTCGAAAATCTCAATGGGACTAATAATGGTTGCGCTCGCCCATTTCTTTTTTGCAATTGTTCTTGGCGTAACTCTCCATGTTTTAAAAAAATCTGATTCTTGATTTTCAACCCCCCTTCCTTATTAAAAAACTGCTTTCGATTGTTGTCCAATCTGTACTGTATCATTATTTATCATCATTTGTGATATGCAAATTTGGACTCTCGTTTTTATGCAATTTGGATAAGTATAATGAGTGTAAAAATTCTTCCCCTGTTGGGAAACCTTGATCTAATTTTTTTTATTCCAACAGTTAACATCTTCAGTATCAAGTCCAAACCTTTTGAACGGAGGTTTAGAATCGTCATCTTCAAATCCAGAACCTCCTGCTGCACAGGAAAAAGTAGAAGATAAACGATTATCAAAGGATTCTATCTTGTCATTGTATTCTCATGGGACTAAATCATCTCCTAGTTCAATGATGCCTCCAGGTGAAACTAAATGTTTTTTGTATTATATGTGCTTTAAACCAATGGTCATGCACCTTATTGAATTTGTACCTGTCTAAATAACAACATTCAATGGCGCTCCTGTAGTATGTGAACCAAGATTGCGGACACCGGAACATAGTATATGCACCAGGTTAGGGTTAGGCTAGTGTATAAATTAGACACAATTACTAATTAACAAAATTTATTTAGTTCTTCTAACGTGACGTCTGTTGTATTTTGCAAAATAAATCCCCTATTGTTGTGAGTAATTATAATGAAATTTCTAACAGCATAAAATAATTTTAATGTTTGTACTGTAACTGTACATCAAACAGGACACAAATGTTTTCAATAATATATAACATGGACTGTCCATAATTGTATAAGAAGAATGACGTACTGATAATTGTAACGCTTCAAATATAATAGCGTAAAACAGGGTCTACACTCTACTGTCTTTAGCATGGCTGTTCTTCTGTTAAAAGGAAAGTATTTCTGCAATAGCACTTGGCGTATTACAAAAATATAAATTACCACTAAATGTATATAGTGTTATACAATATATAATGTTCATAGGTAACTTTAACATTCCGCCACAATCACAAATGGGATTCCAACAACAACAACCAAATATGATGCAATACAATCAGCAATCATTCCCACAAAATATGGGCATGCAAGGTAACAATTTACAAATATATTATATATATATATATTTATTTAGGTATTTTATTCAATAAAGAACTGTTTCATCTTTTTTTTAATAGGTATGCCTAGTACATATCAGCAACAGCAAATGATGAACATTAACCAACAACAAATGAACATGAATCAACAACAGCTCCAAATGCAACAGGTAATGTCTTACATATCTAGTTTTGTAATGAGATTCGAGTATTAATTTTTTCAGAAAATTATTATGAAAATTATCTGTTTCAATTTTCGCCCCATTGCGTTCATTCACTATACTTCTATTATGAAATGGTATTGTATTGAAATGCATCTATGACAAAGTTTCAAATTTTTTTATGTTGGAGGTATGTATATATAAGATATAAGTTAACATGCCGATAAGACCCAATCCACCTATGCACAATGAGTTGAAGTTGGACTATTTATGGTAGTACACATGTATTACCTACATCAAATTTATAATTACATCTTTTTTGGGGCTGATGAAACTCGGTATGTTTTTCCATGTTGGATACTTTAGGCTTTGCAAGTGTTTTCGATTTTTTTCATAGCTTTGATTTGTTTTTTTTCTCATGTTTCAGATGGCCCAACAGATGCCAGGAATGAACATGAGTGGAATGGGATATGGTATGCCACCTCAACAACAGAACCCGATGCAGGGTAATATGGGATATGGTATGGGATACAACCAACAAATGTTTCAAGCACAACAACAACAACAACCTTATGGAAATAACATGGCGAATGGTGCAAATACAGGAATGACCCAAATGGGTGCTTACAGTGCAATGATGCCGGGCATGCAAGTGCAGCCTGGTGCAAATACCTCAATGTGGGGACAAGCTAATCCTGGTATGAATTCAGGGCACACGTTAAGTACGCAGCTCTGGAAATGATGGAATAATGCTTAAGTTTCGTTTTAGATATAACATGTAGATTGGTGAAAATTTGGTAGCTATAATATCTGACACAATAAAATATTAAAGGCTCCAGAGCTCGTTTTTTACCTCAGAGCCGGCCTTTAGATCCATAGCCATTGAGGTTTTTTGGTATGACCTGGGACCACTACTATGAAACATCACCCCAAATGTTTTTTTGTGCTAGCATGATTCAAGACTATAATATAAGAGTATAGAGTTTAACTTGGAGCTTTCAAATCAAAATTAGAAAAAAGATACGAGATAGTTAGCAGCTTGAGCGACTAAAAATGTTGGTACCTCCGGCTCCACCTCCAACTCTTCATTATAGGAAGCTTTGCCTCAGCTTCAACAGTACATACAACAAACCTAGTTACAACGCATTAGATTGTGAATGTGAATACTAACTATGAACAATGTTATGGATAAATAACATTCCAATGATAAAATACAGATTTAAGAATGGGATCATCTCTGCTTGGCATTGCTTAACCCGGTTATCGCACGTTGGGTTAGTTCATGCGTTAGATTAAAACTTGTGGCTTCCATACTATAGCACCAGCATCTATGCCATATATCTAAACTATGTAACAATCCCATCCACTTCTGATTAATGATGTCTTAGATGAAAAAGTCACGAAACTGAATGTTAGATACTCATTTAGGACGATAATTTTATTTATTGTGAGAGAATATTTTTTAGAGTATACCTATATATTGGAATATTTTTTGCTTTTCAAAATTGATGATATATTGCCACCAATATTGTGAAAAATCAGGATCCCCACTTGCTTTTTGATATATCCATGAATCCAACAATTTCTTTCAACTTTGATCATTTTGAATTGAATATTATACAGCTAAATATAATAAATATGTATTTATGACATGTAAAATTAGAATATATTGGTATCCATATATCTTAATGTCTAATAGGACAAAAAGTTAGTTACAAATAATTTTTCTATACTTACTGTAAAACTAATTATTAAATGATACATTGAGATGAGGAGATCAGTAATAGATCTAAAAATAAAAGATTCTGCTTGATGCATCTTTTGATATTATAATACTCTGAAATTTTTTCTTGGGTCTCTTTGCTTGTCGTAGTTTGAGAGATCAAAATGAGCATATAATTTCTATTCAGAAAGTGGCAAACAAAAAGCTAATAGTATTTCATTGATTTACTACTGTTTTGTGCTCGATCTTTGAACATATATATCAATTATCATTCCGCTTTATCCTAAAGAGAAGTCATTTCTAATGTCATGTGATTCATTACATTACATCATTTATACTTGATTATCGAAATTTTATTTGCAATTCAGCGAGGTTTATGCCTTGTCATTCGTCACAAATCTTCATTATGTAGTTGTTTAAACTTAAAATATCTTTTATTGTGTTTTTCTAATTTGTAAAAAAATGTGTATACTCACTGGTATGCCTTGCTGTACCAAGACTAGCCATCACTACAATTAGCATTGAGTTGCATAGTGAATGTTGCATAATGAATCACCGAATCTAGGCTACAGTTGATGCCATCGATGGCTTTCTTTATTAATAAACATATACATATGTAAATTAATATAAGCAATGCCTAGGTTATGAAGTGATTATGTCTATGTATGCGTGCCATTCACTATAATTTATATATTCTCACCATTTTCAGTGCATACACTTTCGAATCTCCACTTTTGATTTTTAGTCAAACGCTAAACCAGTGATAAAAGGAACAATAATCATAATAGTCATTTTTCATGAATTTTTTTACCATGGCGCCCACCTGGTCCGAGGTAGGAAATATTTCTCCCATGTTACATGCATATAAGTGTAGTGCATCATTCATGGCTCTGTTTGAATATGTGTAGGACGTGTATTTTGTTTTTTTATAGTACGTTTTTGTGCTTCGTTTAGAAGAAAATTTGTGTGGATTTTCGTTTATAACTTTATTTGTGTTTGTGATCGAAACAATTTGTTGCATTTATATCATTGAGACAGAATTTTTTTGCCTTTCGTCTTTCTAGTTCGCCTCTATAACGAATGATATAGTCATCTAGGTATCTGCCTATCTGGCGCTCCAGATGTGTGCGTACCAATATGGAGGTGACTAATTTTGTTCGCCTTTTTTACATCAAGTTGTGTAAAGGGACTGGAATGGGCAGGGGGATATTCACTTGGAAAACACAGGCAGTCCCTGGACTCGTAATAGAACTAAAACAAGGAAAATCGGAATAAAATTATGACCTAACCCTAACCTGGTACTTCGGGAGTACCAGGTATCTAGCATAGGTCTTATTTCAGGTGGCCATATTCATGGTGTTGGGGTATCTTGGAGTAATGGTGTTGGGGTATCTTGGAGTAATTTCATTGATTTGAAATAACTAAATTAGAATACATATCACCGTTTCAATAGCTCTCATGTTAGTTTTTACATTTTATAGTCTGTTCGTTACATTCAGAGAAAAACTCAAAATTTTTTTGATAACCATTGGATATTACAGTTCTAAGTTTTGATTCTTCAGATGACATTGCCTCAATATCTTATGTGTTTTCTTGGTGCCATTTGAGTGAAATAGCTCTTATTATTGATAAATTTTTGCAACTTTCCATTCCAATTACCATAATCTTCTATACATATAGTTACATGATTTTATCAAGTTATTTTTTGTGCTATGTAGAACAGGATATTGTGCCTTTATTCTTGTTTAAATCCTTGATATACTGTTACATAGCATCACCACACATAAGACAAAACTTTACTTGTATATATACCTATAGATATGTTCTGTCCCTGTCGGTAAATAGTCTTACTTGAACATAAGTCGTGGAATGTTTTGTTTATGGGAAGTTGAAGTCAAGTTGTGATTGTTTTGTGTCTGTGATTTATTCTGGATTTTAAATTAATTTTTGTCGTCCAAATATCATTGCTTAGGTAGAATTGAATTAGATTTTTTGCGATAGTAAAATTGTTACTTATAACTATATATATGATATTATGTACAAAGCACTTGCGAATGAAGCCTTAAATAAATGAGGATTCTTGATGAAATTTTTACTCCAGCAGCCAAAGGGTGGTTAGGAGACTTCTTTTTTGAACCAAATAAACATGGAGATTGTTGCTGTTTCATGTATTGCCTAATAAGTCGTAAGTGTGGCATACAAGAAGCAAGCAAAGTGATCGGTGATCACGCTGGTATCGGTGAATCGAATAATGATCGCGTTTATTACCTTCATACATCCTGATCAAGACTGGTGACTAGTTCTATGCCTAAACCCGACTCGAACAGTCTTAACGGCATTCTTGAGATAAATTCTAGAGTTGACTTATTGAGAAGAGAACTGAGCGGATAATGAATTTAAGTTTGAATACTTGAACACGACTCCAATCCAATCTATGAGTTATTTGGGACTATATATCATAGATTTTGATCAGAGGTTTTCAACCTTTTTTGTGGAGCGAAACCCTAGTAAAACAATCCAGGAGCCCTCTTGCAATAGTTTGATTGTATTCTGTTGTCTGAATTATATAAACTATATAATATATTCCTAATGACGAAACAAAAGGACCTTTAAAGTGTAAAAAGTTTGATAATAGTGACAAACCTAATAGGGATTTTATTATATTTAAACACTATTATATTTATAGACTCCTGAGTTTGAAAGAAAACTTGCAGTTGCAGAACCCTCCACTGTATTGGCGGAACCTCTATTTGAAAAAAACATTGATTTGGACTTTTTGAAGGTTATCATTTCTAGCGGGTGCAAGTTTTCTGTATAATACTCGGTACTGCTTATGTCCTATCCTATGATATACAGAGTATCCCTCCCTTTTTTAATTCCCTTCACGCTAAGAACTTTTATGCACCATACAAGGCGTAAACCAGCGCTTCGTCCTCCAACATATCATCGCCTTGGAACAGACGGCATGAAAATTGTCAAATGCAATTGCGCAATTTGGTGAGAATGCGCATTTAGTAGAACTGTATCTCCGGTGTTGGTCTTGGTGGGTTTAAAGTCTGGAGTTCTCTTCATCTTCTTTTTCCGTTTGTTTTTTCCCAAAGTTGGGACAAAATGGAATGAATCTTGTCCAACCACAGTCAGTTTTAAACGGAAGATCATATACAGAATCGTTTGCTTCTTTTTCGTTTTCCGTCATATCACCGTGTTGCCATCTTAAGAGCCCACGACTTTCTGTTGATCCTAATAGTGAATAAAGAATCGACTCTTATTACTTTGAACGGATTGAGATTTCTGGATTTTATATTTATCGCAGGCTATGCCACAGCAAAACTATATATATATATATATAGCAAACCCCTATTCATTTTCCGCCTTACCATTTTAATTTATGGAATTAGCTACCCAGTTCAATTACATCTGAGACCAATATGAGTTTGATGGTGGATGATGTATACGCCATGGTGCCAGCGCCGGATTACCATTAAACAAAATAAGCACGTGCTTATGGCACCAGCAAAGAGGGGCACAACAGAAATTTTTATAGCAGAGTTTTATATAGTTTATCAGTGTTTATTTAAAATATTACGAGTTTACAATACGACTCAAACTTCAAAATGTTCGCTTATTTTTCGTCTTCAAGTATCATATTATCCTTCTTTATCAAAAATAGACACTGAAACTTATTTATTGGACACAAAATGGGCCTATGAGTCGTTTTGTAAAATTGTTGTTGTTTTTCTTCTTGTTGCTGCATTTTTGTTTTGAAAAAATTTCTTTTCTCTTCAACAATTGGACCAATGAACTTTTTGCACTATGTGGCGGTTCCACGATCGCATTCCAACGATCTAGTAGTCTGCGAAGTCTGGAGTTTTTTGATAAGGTAGACCAGGGTGGTCCAAACCCTGTTATGCTGATACATTCCGTGCGGCCCACAGAACAATTTTAGCGTATATTTGTATCTAATAGCAGAGCGTTTTTGAGTTTGAGTTTTGAATCCCGAGATTCAAACCCCTTTTTCTAACGCTTTGTGCCTTTATTTCAGTAAAAACACTCCTCTGTTTTCAAGCGTGGGCCATAACGCAGAGCCGATTTACCGCCGCGCAATCCATTTTTTTTATTCAGCAAGGTCCCCAAATACCAACTTAGACTGACTTAAATCGACATCAAACGCGAGATGCGGAAAATACGACGTTAATTTTAGGAAATTAATGTTTTATTTACTGTTGGTTGTGATTATTTTTAATGGATAATACACTTATGCGGTTTATTGTTTTTATAATTAAATTACACATATGGGGGCACCTAAGTCTCCAGTGCTTAGGGCACCAAAAGGGCATAATCCACCCCTGCATGGTGCGACAACTTTTTGTCGCTCGAGGGCCAAATTAGGGATTGCAAATCTAGGAGGGCCGCACATATTTTCGTGGATATATACTCGTGGACTCAAGGCGTCTTACTTGACAAAAAAATTACAAATGACAAGCTAAGAACATTTTTTAAATCGGCATCACTAATCCTAGTTCTCGGCTTGTACTTTGTAATGTTCATTTTCGAAAATAATTGTTCACATGCATATGTCGTTTGTCGCTAGATTTCAGTGAAACATCGTGGGTCGGATTATTTTACTCCGCGGGCCGTAGGTTGCCGATCCCTGATGTAAGCGAGCTGCGATCACGTGAACCAGATTGTGCCAACGTTAAGTGCTCTCGCTCGACACTTAAGAAAATTTTACCAAATTATTCTAGTTGCAAAATTGGTAAAACACCCACCAGGCATTGTGTTATCCAAAATACAGGCGACGATAGAAGAAACGAGCATTCCAGTTCCTAGTATTGCACGAAATATTTCGTTCAGTTCAGTAATTCCAACGTCAATGCCTTGTGGATATTGTTTTAGATACATTTCAAAAGCAATACCTATGAATACACTGAACCCCAGAACGAACATGTTTCTGTTAAAAAATATTGAAGGATATTATATTCGTCCCGTGCAATGTTTTGATTTAGCAGAACTCAAATTTTAACAATAATTTTGTAGGATAAAATGAAATGATTAATATATATATATATACGAGAAATGCAAAAAATTCAGATTTATACAAATAAAAATAAAGCATTTAATTTTTATGGGGTCCAACATAAACATAATATGTATATGACTATCTGTGGGACACGATATGTAAATATGGATCGTTTTATTATATTGTCGTTTTTGTTGGTATTTTTCTTCTTATTGTCCATATATTTGAGCATCGCTCTCTTGTTTAATATTATTAATAATAAAAACAATGTTCACGGAAGTTGGGGTAGCAAAGAAAGAAAACAATATAAACAGGCTTGTCCATAGGAATGGGATGGGATGGGACAGCATACATGTGTATTTCCCATGGGACACGAAAACCGTATGATTTTCCGGGAAATGATGGTAAAACATTTCGTTATGGACTTCGTGTCCATATATTTGAGCATAGAGCAAAATATAAACAGCAAAATATATTCAGCATTAACAATATACCTCGTTTTGCATGTCTCTTCGTACATATAGTCCTATTTAGTAGACACTAAACCTATATTTAACAACTATTATTGAATTTTATTCCAATGGATATCCCATGGGATGGGATGGGACAGGCATAATTGCTATGGGATGGGAATGGGACAAAAGAATGTGTCGCATGGACAAGCCTGGATATCAACTATCTCAATAATGCATATATATGTCAATGAATTTTTTAACTTAACCTTCCATTCCACATTATTTTCCACGCTAGAGAATAAATATACCGATATATAGTACATAATTAATGATTTAGAAAATAAATTAAGCGTTGAAACGTGTAAGTTTTAGTCTCCAACTGGCACAATTTTCATCCTTATATATTATAACTTTTGGTTCCATTACATTTGAACCCATGACAATTGCACCTGCATACTATTGCACCTATGGTAATTTATTTTTTTGGATTTTTGGACCCATACTAACCCTAACGTAATGGGTTTTAGCACCCGCATATAGATTGAACCCGCGGATTTACACATGGGTTCAAATGTACGTGGATTCAAATGTACGGTCACCTATCTTTTTCGTCGTCTGCAAATACCTATTGTCCAAATCATTTTTTTACCAACCTTAAGCAAGATAATGATTTTTGTTCAATATCCATGAAAATTACCTTGTATTCGATAAATCAGCATAAGCAGCAGTACCCGCACCAACACTAAATAAAAATCCTGCCACAATACATAGTTGACCTCCGACCACAGGAAGCGGCAAAGTAACAAAAACGCTGCAAAACTTTGTGATCAGTCCGAATACTGCGAATATGATTCCCATTGCTTGAAGTGCCTGAAAAATTGCGTTTAACTGTTGAATAAACTATAAACAGCTGATCACTAATGTTACATTGTGTTTGTGTATGACGCTAACGTACCCTTCTACTGTGAATTCTGGTCACTCCAAGTCCGATCAAATTTGAAGCAAATGTGGTTGTAGCGTTTCCAGTTCCTACTAGTCCATGTGCAAGAATCCCAAACCCTTCAACCATAATTCCCCTGGAATAGTAGTAATCTACAGTATAAGACGTTAGTAACCTAATATTTTCAAAGATAGCGTGAATTAGTTGCGGAATTGAGTGAAGCCTTAATGTAAGATATTTACGAGGTCATTTTGCAAAAGTCGTATTATATTTTTATTTACCCTAGGCCTAAAATAAGTTATGCAAATTACCTGTTGATGGCATGCTTTGGAATAACCGGACTCTTAACGATTTTCGCACCAGCATAATAATCGCACAAAGAGTCGACAATCCCAACAACAAGAGCGGCTATGAAAATCAGAACAGTTGAAATGCTGAAAGTCGGCCATCCCCACTGAAAAGGGTAGGGAAAAGAGAACCTGAAAATTGAATTAATTTGGTTGAATATTTCATTAAGTTATGTTATTTCTCTACCCGTCGTAAATAGTTTCATCATTTCCAATTTTTGTGGAAACCAAATAAAAACGGATGACTGCGGAATAGAAAGAAAGGGATTATGAATTTCTTGTAGGAAACAACAGAATAATTGATTTAGGTAGATTAAGTAGTCAATCCAACCGATGAGCATGTTCCATGCAGGCAATATTGTTTTCAACAATACACGTTTTAAATATTAGAATATATACAAAGGTCATTAACTTATACCTATATCGTTCAATTTATTTTCATCTTACCATGGGCTGTTAGAAATAACATTAGGAGATATATCTGTTCTCGCTCTGAAGGATTTCATTGATTTATCTTGCGGTAAAACATTGGTTATTGTGAGAATGTAACTCAAAAGCCATCCGGAAAGTAGAGCAATCAGAAACTGTAAAAAATCGAATCATTTACAAACTAGGTAAACAATATATATATATAAGTGTGTAATAGGCTATATAGTTTTTCGGAGTGACTGGGTTCGAATCTATTGGAGTTCGCGACATTTTCAAATACTAGCAGTAGCAAATCTTAATTGAACTACTTCCTTAGAAATACTTCAAAGGCGCACAATGCAATTCATACAGAGAATGTTCAATTTTACTTTTTGCAGTGAATACGAAAATAATCTATTGGGAAGTTTATGGAGTTCAAGAATTTAACGTGAAAATCGGATTACTTTTTCTGTACATTTGCTTAAAATCCGTGTTTATATCTATACGAACTTATGTATTATTACCGGAAACATCGCAAACAAAGGTTTCTTTGTTGATGAACATTTCTTCTTTCTTGTGCTGCAGATAGGCAACGGCACATTGACTTTGGACAAGTATTGGAATACGATAACGATCAATATATAGCTGTAAAATGTATGTATATACCAAAAATAATAAGTTCTATTGCAAAGATTAGTGAATACTTATTAAACAAACACTCACCACATCGGAATTCCCCAATAAATGCTACAGAATTTGACAGCCACATCAGCAAGGGAAAACGACACAAGAAAAAGGCACGATCCAATAGTCAATGGTCCAATAAATCGCATGGCGACTCCAATCGCTCCCGAAGCCCCGATGAAAATTTGAGCAATGCCGACAATAATAATCGCTCCTTGTGCCTATATTTTTAAATAAAGTTTGCATTCAAAACGATGATGAAGGTAACATTATGAACTTATGAGAGTGTCAATCGGATAGAATTGGATGGATTCGATTAAAACGAATTTGCTGAGACTCCATTAAAATAATTAAAGACACTTTCGAAATTTACGTTCTAAGAAGTGAGAGATTATATACGTGAAATCGTGACCAGCGAAAGTATTTATTCTTTCGTAACATTCTATTATTACCTAGATTATAAGGTACAGGTCGATGAGCGGAATTTTCCAAATTCATCTCTGTATTGAAGAAGAAAAAATTGAACATTTTAAATTATAGTTACGCAACCACAACCGAGAATGCAACCTGTGATCTTGATACTAGTGTTGGCGATTCATGCTTTGATATATAAAAATAAGTAGTTTCGATGCAGACTATCGTTTACCTCTCTTATTCTTATCTGCCAAACTTCATCGCTTCCGAGAAATTCACCGTCAATATCTTGATACAGGTAAGAGACGTTTGATGACCAAGTAAAATTGATATCAGTAAGGTTTTTAATACGTGAAGGACATTTCCATTTCTCACCTCTCATCAACGCAGTGAGAGAAACAAAATAAGATAATGAGATAATTTGAGCTGTTGGCAATCTGAAATAGATGAATGTGTGACATAAATTATGAAATGTTTTCAATTATTAACTACTTCATTAACTACTTGTTTCATACGTTAGCAAATGCCGGTACATTTTCGTCGCTACTGGTGATAGTTGTATGTATTTTAAAATATCCACTATGAAAAATAATAATATAATACACACCTTACACCAAATGTCGTTTGAACAAACGACACGACTCCCGCCAAGAAAAAGAATGCTCCTATTATTTTTGTTTTCGATATTTCGGTTTCTGGACTGTCATCAAAACACAAAACTCCAAATAACATCAACGGAATACCAATGACACCATCGATGGAGAGAAGAACGTGCTGAAATGTAAAACAATACTGTATTATAATGTGTTCCTGATTTGACACTAACTTTCTGGACCAAACATGGAAGTTAAAATGGCATTATTTATGTCAAAGCAGAGATTTCCTCGAATTGGAGGGGGTTCGGCCAATACGATTGATTTTTAAAAAAAATTGTGTTTATCCGAAATAATTATTTAAAAATAAAAAATAATAAAATCAAAATTCGCTCAAAACGAGGTGGCAGCAATCGATCAGCCGGGAATTCACCTATGCAGTGCCATTTTGAATCAGCAAATATGAGTGGAAACGTGCCCCTGAATTCCCAACAATAATAGATGAAAAAAAGTGACAAAGTGACATATTTTACGGAGTCGTTCCCGTTTTCTGTCGCATCGTCAATTCACCAAGTACAACCATTTCTGTTTCTAGTAATAATGATATTACTTCAGATATGTAACAATGACACTGAATTATTATCTGGGCACTCGTGTGCTCGTACTATGTTCAATAAACAACCTTTCTCACCTGAATTCCCATAACAAAGGTCAACCCAATGGGTGGGTTATCGTTAACTCCGTATAAGACATCATCAGCATTTGCCTCGGCTTCTTTTTCTTTTCTTCTTCTGTTCGTATCGATATCATCGCCGTTAGAAGTAACCTCAATACTAGATATGCATATTTCGTCAACCATTTTATACTTTATATATAAGCTACAACAAAAATATATTTTACTTTTATGCGTTTAGACGTTCACCGTCGCCCTAAATGCAGTAAAGGTATCAAAATATTATTATTTTTTAATCTCCTCGCTGCCTGTCTGTATTATTCAAGCTCGGATAAAGTATTCGGCATAAATCTGGATTAACCGGCGCTTAAAACTGAATTTCGTTTACCGGGAATTAACCAACGCGCATTCGGACATTGCGCTTCAACGTGTTTATAACTTTTTTTCAAAAGTGCCTGACGTGATCAAGTAGGCTATTGACGAGCATTTGAATGTACTTGAATTATAACGGGATAAATTCACACGTTTTTCATTTCGTTTTTGAACTTCGCAGATAGGAAATATACAAACAAGTGGGAATCTTGTAAACCATCATGCATCAACGTCTAACATGCAAAATTTGGCGCTCCGGAAGCATTCGTACCAAGATGACGCGCAACCTGAACAACCCTAACACATACTATGTTCAGGTTGTACGCCATCTTGATACGAATACTTCGGAAGCACCCACAATATTATGCCCGAACATACTGACATATGATGTGTGATATAACAAAAAAAGAATTTGAATTGCATAGTGCAAGTACACTTTTCACACAATGCTCTTAATTAATTAATAAACAATGAATAAATTTTAAATGATTTTAAAACTAAATATGGAAGGTGTAAATACAAGATTCAAAGCCGAATCAAAGAGGAAAGCTGGTAATTCCGCGCAAACATGAATGTTTGATATTACTAAATTCTTCCAACTGCGCCATCTCTGATTCTAGTCGTAAATTTTTAAGTCAACGTGACATGATCTAAAAAATTATTACTAACAATTGAACACCGGTCTCGCCCTATATTGTCGGTAACCCAACCTTGTTTTTGTAACCCCAAAAATTACAAAACAGAGAACCTATTAAACGCAGGTAATAAAATCTACCCCGTGTTCTAAAATCACTATTTCCAACAGTTCATCTGGAGAAGATATCAGATATGTCGATGTCAGTTACACCTACAATGATGACTCCCACACAGCACATTTTATTTCTGATAAATATTCATCCTTTATATATATATATATAAAGCGCCATTTTAAATAGAATGTGATATACAACCGCCCATTTTTTTATACTTTTTTAAATAATTTTATCGCAACTCTTTAGTGGTATTTTTAAACACCAGGGATATTTTTAGCCCATGACTACGCAATTTCATATGAGCACGTAACTTGTTTTGCTTAGTTGCAAATATATATATATATCAGTAAAATGACATGGACTAAGATTAAAAAAGTTTAGATTTTCAGAATATTTATATTTGCATACAATTAGCTGAATAAAACATTTATACTTTAACAAAAAATGTTGTTGTTGCATGAATCAATTCTCTCGCCGTTTGAAGAGATTTGACCTGCGGCTAGTAAACGAACTAGGCGTTATCATATCGGCTTACATTTCAAGCGAAAAACTCGGCCACTGATTATATGTTCATGGCAAATAAAAAAAATATCTCCACTTTGATCAAGTAGCAAAATCACTGGGAAATTGTTCATTGAAATCTAAGTTCTTCTTCCTTGTTTACTTCCTGCTTGCGGTTCACAGGTCGCTCGATCGAGATTTTACCAAATTGTCAAATAAGAATAACAATATCTTTTTGCGCGAGTAAGTTGTTGTTGTTACAACTTCAGTGGTCTTTTGCGCCATTGATCAATTTGAATTTTGAAAATCCCATACTAACATATTATACATTTTTTATAAATAAATAATTATACGATTAAATCAATTATAATAAGTAATTTATCTAGGTTTTAATGATATTCATGTTACTGAGCATTTCTTCTGAGCTTTGTGAATCACTGGAATTCTCTGATAAATATATTGTGTATTTATATCATAGTGGGCTACGCTCTCAGGTACAAAACAATGTTCGTAATATCCGTCGGAATGACAGCCAATTCTATGTAAATGTAAATTCAGGGCGCAATGACCGGTTTGAATCGGAATAGAAGAACTTGATATTAGCTCGAAAAATCTTTGTTTTCGAGTCGTGACATCGTGGTGGGATAAAATCTTTTATAATGTCTTGCTACATCGCTATTAACATATTCCGTATTCCATTTTTTAAACAATATTTAATGCGAGATACTAAATATCTGAATTGAATAATTCATTAAAAAATGCAAGATTACTGAAAAAGAAAGGGCGAAAGAGTTTTTTTCAACTTCACCCTGTTTTATAATCTAATCTCGTTTAGTTCAGCAATGATCTTCACTCCTTGTTTTTCCAATTGCCGTGGAACGCTGGTGGAAAACCACTGCTCTAGATTAATCAATAAACAGTTGATATCATACAACACATTATGAGACATTGAGAGACTTTTCCCGGAATGATAGTTAGAAGTTTTGGATTGTCTTTAGCGACAGCGACAATAATATAAGATGATGCACAAATAACAAATCTATTTTTAAAACGCACGATAGTTGTTTTTTACAATTTTTCGAAGTATTTGATTATACCTTTCTCATAGAATCTGAATCGATTATCAAGTGAAAGTGATGATATTCGCGTTATTTAAATATTTGTATCAATCGGTATGCTAATATGAAATCGTATTAAAGATAATGAAACACAACATATACATTGAAACGCCAGATTTCTTTTATCAGAAATATATTCGATTCGATATATCACTGTACACATACAATCGAAATATATGGCATTCCGTATTTAATAATGACGAACGTGTACTTTGAAGATAATGATAATAACATCAAATAATATTAACAAAATTACTGGGACAGATCACTCAGATTTTAACTACATGGTTCGAATATCATCGGAGTCTAACTTTTGTATAATAATTTAAACTTTACTTGCGCTTCAACGGGATTTCTTCTTTTAAAAATAGTCGTATAATTTTCTCTGTAATTTTTTGACTTTTACGCAGTTCCCATTTGATTTACAACCCAGGTTACTCATTTTTAATAGCTATTCTAGAATCTAGATACATATTTAAATCATAAAATTCCAAGCGAAATGGCTGGCATTCGGAGTATGAAATAATCATCACTTTATCGTTTTTGGTTTTCGAATCAGTTACCATTACATGGTTTTACATAGTTATCTTAGTGTTCAGCTAAGCGAAATATATATATATATTGAGTATTCAATTGTGAAATAATAAATTCAAGTTGTTTCGAAATACGATCGTAAGAAAATACTTCTGGAAGTTACGTAAATTTTTCGACTACTTATTTCAATTCAGCAACGCAAGCGAAATTTTGATATCATCTTTACGATGTATACCAAATCTTGATATGTATCGAAAATTGCCACATTCAGTCAGCACATTTTACCGCGTTCAGATTAAAGATTAAAAGCGTAAAAAACAACGTAATAACTGTGAATAAGCGACGCCCTGATGATGTCATGTAATCCATCCTAGATTTAGGACTCTCAAATATCGCTGATATATGGCAGAGGTGGCCAACACGTCAGGTCGAGCCAACACGTCTTAGGTGGTCGATCGCGTCTGATGTTAAGAAATTTGATAACATACCTCAAAAAATTGCCTCGAACCAGTTTCATGCAGCGCAGGATGTGTGTTTTAAAACAGGAATTATACAGGAATTACGAGGTTGGCGTGACGCAGTCGGATAAAGCCCAAAAGTGATCAAAACATCGCGAGTTTTCACTCACTTTGAATATATTTAAGATGTAGAGTTTACTGTTCTGATCAGTTTTTTTAATTAAAGAAGTCATATAAAGCCTTTAGTTATTTTAAAATTGCCTTCAGTCAAATGCCGTGGTATTTTCGGTATCTGTTCTCGTGTTTGTTTTTGTAATTTCGCCCAAAATTACATTCTTTCGTGACAGATATTACTTGAAAACACACCAGACACTGTGGTTTAACGTTGTTGTGGCCCTGTGGGTGAAGAAATTCGTTTATTAATCTCAGTTTACTTTGGCCACCGTTTTTATTAGACTCATTGTATGATGGATTGTTATGTTTGACTAATTTTATTACTTGTAGCGTGAGTAGGTCAGGTGCTATCGCAAAAAAAAAGTCCGTCCAAGTTGGGACTCCGGACTCAGCTAAAAAAAAATTGGAATTGGCGCTAAGTCAGCTCTGCGGTTCGTCACTGCTGCCACATGACCAACCAGTGATTTCCCTACACCCCCTTCTAAAATTTCAAACATCAATAATTTTTGAGGTGAGATTTCACACTGTAATTCCTAACTCAATTATAGGGGTATTTAAGTGTATAGACCAGTGGTTCTCAACCTTTTATGGCTCGTGGGCCCCTTCCGGCGTCTTTTTGCACTTGTGGCCCCCTTGTTCGCCATTCCAAAAAACTAAATGTGTTGGATTGTATTATGTTTTTACGACCTTTTATGAAATGCAAAAGCAAACCACAGACAAGAAAGTAAAAGCTTTCTAGTATACAATCAATGGAAATCTTGTGCTTGGGACTGTCTGACAAGGTTTCTTATATTGGACACCGGTTTGATATAGCCAGACGAATGTCACTGTTAACACCAAGACGGTTTTTAGATCTAGTAGGTAAGAATCTGATACGCCACTTCATAGCTGCATTCAAGACCGGGCTCATTCTCTGACAAAACCAGACCTTTCACCCTGGGTTGATTTTTTGTCATGATGGTTTTGGAGTTTAGATGGACGTAATGATTTATTGCTAATTACATACGAGCAATGCAAGCATTGAGCACATTTCTGTCATCTCGGTTTACTTTGGTAAAGCCAAAGCCAACGTAACTGTCGTTCCATTTTCGTATTTTGAGCATTATGAATTTACAAATGGGTTTTTGCGTCTCTAATACGATAGCAAAGGTTATCTGACAGTCTGGTGAAATTGCCCGTCTACAGGTTAGACGGCCTACCGGCGAACTATTTTGATTGGTAGATTCCAAGTTCCATTATGATCAAACAATT